TATATTTCATGTACATACAATATATATTTCATGTACGTACAATATATATTTCATGTACGTACAATATATATTTCATGTATTATGTAACAAAATGGGTAATATAATTTACATATATCTTAATTGTTGAATAGGAAAATTACTTCTACCTATGTGCTGTTTTTTTCTTTTTTTTCGTACAGTTCCTTTGTTACATTTTTAGGGAAAGCACTTGCTTGAACTTTTGTGCACACACACACACACACACAAAAAAAAAAATAAAATAAAAAAAAAAAATAAATAAATAGGAAGAGTAAATTAAAAAAAAAAAAAAAAAATTATACTCTTGTAAATTTTTGTAGATTTGGCAAAAAAAAAAAAAAAAAAAAAAAAAAAATACAAAATATATTTACCATTTAAGCATCTTTTATGTCACATATAATATAAAGAACGCATTTTTAGGAACAGAGAAATATGAGAAGATACACAGAAAAAGATGCACGTAATAATGAAATAAAAAAAGAGGCATAAAGATTAAAGTTTTCCTATGTTTTCATATGTCATGTTCTAATTCTATAGGTTTATATTAAAATAGAAAGAAAAAAAAAAAAAAAAGAAAAAGAAAAGAAATATGCATAATACTATTATAAACGACTACATATACATACGTGTATGTGCAAATGAATAATCATATATCTATGCACATGAATTCATTTGAATTTCAGTGAGAAATTCTTTCCGAAATAACTCATAGAGATACAAGCAAGAGTACATACATGTTCACGTGCGTGTGCCTATATACATATGTCTATTATGTATAAAGACAAATTGAAATGTATGCACAAAGATATGCTCATTCCAATTTTTAAATACCAAAAAGGCTTTGAAACGAATGATTAAAATTTTTTCAAATTCATATGTATTTTTCGAAAAATATGAAGATGTAAATACATTCAAATAAGGTAGATGTGGGTGAAAATTAAATGCAACTGGGGGAGGGCACACATTTTAACTGCTCAAAAGATATATAACAACCTTTCGTTTTTTAAAAATGTACGTAATAATGTAACGATGCAAAAGCGTGGAAATGCAAAAACACAACTATATTACTATGAAACAGTGTACGTGTGTAATCATGTATGTCAACCGGGATGATGCATTACTTTCTCGTTTCACATGTTCTGAAGAATTATCTCTACCTCCACTACATGTCCTTTGCTCATATGTGTGTATACGTAAACTCATATAAACGTCTGTATATGTAAAAACCCAGCGAATATACGAAATTGCAAGGGTTTCATTATGGTGACATCTGTAAACGGATGATAGCGTATGCTTTTTGCAACGTTGGCACAACTTTTTCATAAACTTTTGTAATGGTATAGTTATTAAACTTTTAAATCATGCAGAATGTTGTAGTACTACTTCTTGTTATATTAAATTTTATTTGAAAATGTCACTTTTATTTCTATTAAAAAATTAAAAATATAAATCTAAAACATTTATAATAAAAGCTAAAATGTTTCTATTAGACACAGGTAATCGTATATTTATGAAAATGTTAAAAAAAAAAAAAAAAGTGTAAGTAAAGAAAATGTAATTAAATTTTATTTATTATTGTTACTTTATTATTATTTATTTTTTTACTTTTTTTTTATTTTTTTTTTTATTTTGTCGTCGTTAAAGTAATAAATATGGTAGAGTGCTGTTTTTTTTTTTTTTTTTTTTTTTTTTCCGACATTTTTATTTTCTTTTCATGCGAAGTGTGTGCATATACAGTTTCCTATACACTGCATTTTGTTTTGTGTGTGTGAACTAAATAATTAGTTAGGATGATTGTACATATGTATACGTACATGTACGTATGCACGTATACATACGTGAACTTATACATACATAATATACACAAACATAACGTACACAAACATAACGTACACAAACATAACGTACACAAACATAACGTACACAAACATAACGTACACAAACATAACGTACACAAACATAACGTATACATACATAACATATACACACATCAACGTATACATATATGCACATATACATATATGCACATATAAATATACGAACATATACATATACGAACATATACATATATGAACATATACATGTATTATTTTTTTTCAAAACTGCAAAACTTGAGATGCAAGTATTTAGATAAAACAGAAAAATATGCGGCACTCCATTTAAACTAAAAATGCCATGTTTGTGAATATTTGTTCACTTTATCACTTATAGGACCACCAAAATTTGCATAAGTATATATATATAAAATAAATACCGAGAAACATTACATCGTGCGGGAAGGAGAAAAAAGCCTTATTTTTTTGTGTGCAACACGCTGTTTTATTTCAGCGCACAGATTTTTTCCGTTTTACATTTCGCTGCGTTATGTTTTGCTATATTTCACTTTATGTTATTGTACTTCCATGCATTTTCACTTTTTTTCCTATTTTTACTTCATTTTTTAACTGCTATTTTAACATGTGCAGAGAGTTGACACAAATTATACTCGAAACTTAGTGTTATATATTCATAGGAAAGAAAAAAATCCCACGTCATATTTTTGCTGCACATTTTTTTTTTCTACCTTATTTTTTAAAAATAACATATGCACACTTTTAAATACATTTACGCATATATATACACAGTGAAAACAACATAGACAATTTACCGTTTATAAAATTTAAAATTACAAAAATACACTTCTTTTTAACGCTTTATTATTTTTATATTTTTTTTTATTTTTGTGAATAAATTTTAACCAATTCGTGAAATTCGTGCACATGGTGAAATTTTATCTAGTTAAAAATGACGGGTGAAAATCACCCTAAAAAATAACTTATTTTAAAAAGAGTAAAAACTTGAACTAACCACTTTTTTAATTTAAATTTACTTCAATTGTCTACTTTGTACGTGTTAAAATTAATCACGCGCATAAGAATTATTCGTAACTGCTATTATTTACAGCATATGCACCAATGAATTATGCAACATTTTTAATAAATTTTTTTTTTTTTTATTTTCATTTCAACAGTACGCATTTAGAAAAAAGGTTTTGGTTATGCTGGTGATAATAGGAGGAAAAACTAAGAACAACAATTCATAGCAAAATGTAGCTGAGATGCCATTTTGTCATTTTTGGTGAAGTGCCAAAATTGGAGAATATTAAATGCGTAAGTCTCTGTGTTGATATCTTCATTCCCCAACCGTCACAACAGTGTTCAGACAAAAAATATATATAAGTATATATAAGTATATATATATATATATATATAAGGCTCTTTTTACCTTGGCGCAGTTACAAATAGGTGTGCACTTGTGTTTTCCAATAACGTGTTGCAGATAATTAACTATCCCAAACTCAATAAAGGTATGAGCATAACATGTCCTTTTTTTCGAGCATTATTGATAGACATTGTACCTCCGTATGTGCAATTTCTTCCCCTTCAAAAATACACGTTGGTTAAGGTAATATCTGTAAGCATTCAAGTTCCTACACGAAAAAAGATCGGTTCATCTTTTGCTCCTATGTTCCTATAACCCAAAAGTGATAAGTTTTAACATAGTTATGAGTGGCCTAGAAGTGTAATTGATCCCTCCTTAATTAAAAAACAAAACAGCATAAATTAGTGAAATGATAAATTACCGAAATGATAAAATAGCGAAATGATAAAATAGCGAAATGATAAAATAGCGAAATGATAATGTAATAAATAAATAAGTAAAATAAAAAATTATCCTCATCGTCATTTGCCTATTTTCACCAACATTAATCCGGCCTGTGTCTTCCAAAGTGTGACATTTCAATTTTACATGCACACGTTTTCAATGTTAAAAAAAAGACATTATGACCAATTAGATAAGCGTATCGAAGGAAACGCACATCACTCAGTAATTTCTCCCTTTTTGTGGACACTATTTGTCGAAGGGAAAAGAAACACCATGAGCTAAAATTAAAAAAGCACACCTGTAAAGCGTATATATACATATGCATATATAAAGGTAAATTGTGCCCAGTGCTCAGGCTTTTTGTAACAAAAGGTGGTAGTACTTCGCCCAGGAAATAAGAAACCAAAAAATACGCACACTCAAAACTGTGTGTGTTATTCATATATATATATATATATATACACATAACAAACCTTAACGTCGCAACTTGACCTAATTTTAAAAATTTTACTATACTGTAGATAGATGAAAAGTGACAAAATGGAAATCTGCCAAACGGATTATGAATGAAGGATAAGTAAAATTGTAAAGGAAGTGGGGAAGGGGTATGTGAAATGAACTGTTGCATTTACTTGTGTGCAATGAGCCTAACTAAACAAATGACAAATATATTAAATCATCTCATGTAGGGAAGAAAGAAAAGGAAAAAAAAAAAAAAAAAAAAAAACACATACACACACACATACATATATATGTATATGCCATGTTGTTGCAATAGAAAATGTTGTGGCAAGGAATGAAAAATAAATGTAAATACAACTTCCCCAGTGGGGAAAGAAAAAGACATACAGTCAGTTGCAATCGCGCAGTTGCATTCGAGCAGGTGCATTCACATATATTCACACATGCATACATGAACACACATAGATAACGCCAAAATGAAGTTAAAATGAAATTAAAGAAGACAATATAAGTACTACAAAAATATGCTGATACTGGAAAGTGGGGTAAATTTTTAGACACCTTTTTTTTTTTTTTTTTTTTTAATTGCAAATAAGATGAGAAAAGGGTTAATCTTAACTGAAGTGGGTGGGGGACTCACTATGTAATTTATATTCCCCTTTAAATTATTCTAGTAAGAAGTAGGAGATGAACATTCTTATTTCAAACGCAGGGAATGTATACATATATATATTTATGTATGCACATATATTTGGTACTCTTTAACCCCCTCCATAATTGGACAATTTATTTTGACATATTAGTAGGCCCTACATATCGACACGTCTGTATATACACTGCTGACGAATGGAATATGTCATAAGTAAATAAACTTCTTATTTGTTCTTCTTACTATGAACAATATTGCTTACACCATTCCTTCCATTTTTTATAGTTGTTAATTTTCGCACTCCATTGTGAAGTTTGGTAAAATGCTTGACATACTCAAAGCTGTCATAACCAGATGAACTTCCATATGATAATTCATCTTCATCGCTATATTTCATTTCATTTGATTGTTCAGGATTGTGGAAAATGTTGTACGAGTTAACCATATCATTGAAACATTCCCTTCCATAATGTTCATACATGAAGTTATTCTTAGTCTGGATATGCATTCTATTAACATCTTCAAGTGGGAGCTTTTGACAATTATGCATTTCTTCATAATTATTCATGCATTTATAACGGTTCACATTTTCATAATTATTCAAGTCATTATAATTATTCATGCATTCATAGTGGTTCACATTTTCATAATTATCCATTTCTTTATCAAGCGAATTGGGGGAATAATTCATAGCCATCTCACGATTCACCATCTTCGAATTCATCGAAAAGGGTGCATTTGACGAATCCACACCAAAAGCATCAACCCCTCTGGCAGAACCATTCACTGCATCAGGATGATAATTATCTCTATAAAGAAAGAAATTATCTTCAATTATATTTCTACCTCTGGGTAATTGAAGTCTTGTTGATAATGTAGAGTTATGTTCGTGAAATGCTTCTCTGTTATTTCTATACTCAATTTTGTATCTCATTTTATTACTGTTTTTCCTTCTTTGTATTTGAGAATGGCCAAACCTATTAGCAGAACAAAAATCATTCGTAGGACCCTTAACAAATGAGCAATTTTTCTTGATCCTATAAATGGATAAACTGTCATGATTTTTTTGTAAAAGGTTTTCCATATGCTTTCTCTGCACTGCATTCCCCGGCACACCCGGGTACTCTTCATCAGATTGGTTCACATCTGAATGGCCGTTACCACGCTGCTTTTCATCAGATTGGTTCACATCTGAATAGCTGTTACCATAGTACATGGGATCTAACTCCCTCTTATGCTTTGCAGAATGCATAAACAAAGGGTTCCTACCGTCCTTTGGTGGATAGGAATAATCATGAGGCTTATTATTTCTATTCAGTTTTAAATTACTAGTATCCATAATGTTAAGGGGTGCAGTAAATCCAACCTTTTGAGTTGGCAATCGGTAGGATATACTTAACAGTCGTAGTTGTAAAATAATAAAATCATACACATCTGTTCTTAGTTCGAAAACTTTTCTCCAATTTCCCCATCCTTCAACACATTTAATCCAGAAACTAATTTCATAAAAATGACCTGGTTGGAGGGAACAACCAAAATATAAATTTTTTGTTTTACAAAAATCACTAGGTCTATTATCAACTAGAAATTGTAAACTTTTTCTCAATTCCTTAAGGGCTAGTAGGGGCGTATTAATATCTACCTTGAAGGATATATCTATGTATGCATTTTTGGATCGACTTTCATTATAAATTTTAACGTTACTTAACTTAGAATTTTCATAAATTACAATTTTGCCAGTAGTAGTTTCAAATTCAGTTGTGTATGTTTTAATTTTTTTAATATACATGGCTTCCCCTCCATCTAGTCTTACTCTATCCCCGATATTATATGGGTTTGAAAAAGCAATGAAAATAACAGATGTGATAAAATTTGTATACATATAACTTAATATTACAGTTACAGCTGTTATAAATGCTGCTCCTGTTACAATAATAGTGTCGACAGAGACACCAAATATGAATAACAAAACAACTGTTGCTAGAAATGACAAAAGAATGGACATTAGTCTTCTTACTAATTTTAAAATACTTTCTTGTCCTTTTAAACTTTTTATAAATTTCTTTCTGCATGATATTGCTCTCTTGATTGCATTTCGAAACATAATCATATCAATTTTCCCGTGTCCAGATAGGTCAAATTCTTTCATAAATTCTTCTGTTTCTTCTGGTTTTAAAAAAACCTCAATCATCTCTTTTGTAATAAATTCATTTCCATTTATACTCATCTGGATAGGACTTCGTACATTCATAACAAATAAATCATCTATTTCTAGTGACATGTCTTTTTTTATTTTGCTGAATCTTCCTTTTTTATTCTTTTTAAAACAAAAACATTTGCTTAATTTTACTTTCTTATTTTCCTTCAGTCTTTTTACATTCATTGCATCACTTCTTTCTAATATGTTATTTTCTTCATTCAATAAATGAGAATGGTAATAATACGTCTTTCTCATTCCAGATATGTTATTTTTTATTTTCTTACTAAATTTTCCAGAATCCTTTGCTTTCTTATTTGTTTTCTTTTTTCTATCACCAAATATTTGATATGATGAATTAATCTCTTTCATATGTGATTCTATGTTACTTTCTTCACTTGACATATTTAATGTGTTTCCATTCTCCCCTATATTCTTCAATGAAGTTCCAAAGTTATTTTCTTCTTTTTTCAACAACTTCTCTGTTTTACCCATTTCAATGTCGTAATACATTACTTCTTTATCTATATTATTTTCAATCATTTCTTCTTCATTTGAGGTAGAATCCTTCATTTCCTTCTTATGCACAGAATCTACACTGTACTTTTTCTTCAAAACTTCTTCTATTGTTAAATCTTTTATTTGAACCTTCATGCTGTTGTAATTTTCCAAAGGAGGAAAAAATGTCCTTTCTTCTGTGTCTTTCAAAGGGTTATCGTCATACAGTATATCATTCGCATGTCCTTCCCTATTTGCATTCCCATTTTCTTTTATCTCTTCCATTCCTTCCTTCTTTTTAATTGCAACTTCTTTTATTCCAGACACTGATGGGGTAATAAATATGTTAAATTTTGTGTCTTCCAAAATAGAGGTTTCTTTTATAACCACATTTGCATTCGCGCCGTTCCTATCTCGTTCCTCCTTCAGGTTTGTCTCCTTCATTCCAATTTCATTATTTCTTTTTTGTTTCCTCTGATTAGAGTGTATTTCCTTTTTTCTAGATTCATTTCCATTTTCTTCATATTCATCATATTGTGTAGTATTCCGTTTTGCCTCAATGTCGACCATTTTAGGATCACGGATTTGATGGAGACCGAGACCAGGAGTAGGAGTAAAACCATTGGGATCACCACCCTGTATAGGGGAGGCAGACAGATCATGAACATTCGTTTTTCCTCTCTTTTTCTTCTCCTTCGTCTTCTCCTCCATTTTCTTTGTATCTCTGATACTTGTCATACCATTAGGATCTCTACCTTTCATATCTCCAACTATGGATGATTTTTTCTTTTCATTCTTTTTCCTAAATATTGTAACTGCACCGTTATCGCCTTTCTCTCCCACTATTTCTGTAACCTTGTCAGTTATACTTGATTGTGTATTTTTTATTTCTCTCTGTTTTGTTTCACTTTTTCTCATTGCTTCCTCTGTTCTCAATTGTCTATCATGCGTTCTGTCCGTCACATCTCTCTTCGCCACTTCTCCATCGACCACTTCTCTCCTGGGTACCTCTCCCCCAGAGGAGACATTCTCATTTTTAGAGTCCTTTTTAATATTGTACCCATTCTTGTCTCGGCTCCTTGGCCTATTCAAAAGATTCACTTCATTCTCTTCTCTCCTCTTACCCAACTTATCTCTCTCCTTAACCTTTTTTTCCTCAGCCGCTTCCGATCGAATTGCATCCAAATCAATGTCATTGAAAATATTTTCCAAGTTGATTTTTTTTTTTGCTCTAGATTCTGAGTCTGAGTTGTAGGCTGGGTTTTTATGGGGATTTGGAAAGGTCTCTTGCAAGTTACGTAAATTGGAATCTCTATTCAAATTTAAGGTCTGCAAATTTTTATTATGAGAAAAATCATCAGAAGAGATATTATGCATAGCTGAACCAGTAAAAGCATATGTATCATTTTTCTCTTGATAATACATTTTTAGAGACATAATAATTTGTCTGAATAGAATATCTCCTCCAATTTTTATAGAATTTTTATTTATCAAAGGAATACTATTATTTAGAAGAAAGATGAGAGGAGGAGTGTTAACAACATAATGACAAGCTAGCCAATTTTTAATAGTGGACGTTTCTGTCTTAACAATATTTTTGGATTCAAATATAGGAGGAACTAATAATTTCATAGCATTTCTTTTTTTATTTCTATTTAAAGTAATTTTACAACAAGTACAATTTCGAGGTAAATTTTTAAATAATAACAACTCAGCTTTATCTTGAATAATTTTCTTACTTATATCATTAGTTTCAAGCTGTCTAATCATTTTCTCATCTTGATATAATTCATAGCCAAATAACGATCTTATATTTTCTTGCTTATCTGCAACAAACATAAACCATTCTATGTTAAATTTTCGAAGAATTCCATATTGTGATAAATATTTTCCTAACAAATCATGAGCATTCATTAAAAAACCTAATTCAAATACAAATGATATTATGGATAATAGAAGTAATCGGGCAGCAAAAACAATGTATAACAATATAGGAAATGATATTAACCAATTTATACTTTTTAAAAACATGAGAGGATTATCTTTATCTTTATATCCAAAAATTCGTAAAACGTAATAATCTCCATTTTCTTGTTCCCCTTTTTTTAATATCATATTACTTCTCCAATATATAATTTGAACAGATGACCATAATAAATAAACTAATTCTGGATCTACTGTATTGTAAAATGCAGCACATAAAGCACTTGGTTGCAGCAATCTTTCTAAAAATAATTTCTGTATAATTGCATGAATAATCATTATTATTGTAAACGATACCATATTAATACCCAAAATTAAGAAGCAGCAATATATGCTACCATATATAAAGCTTCTATTATATTTAGGTTCATGTACTGGGTCATGTAAATTAGGCTCAGATAAAGAACTTAAACTTACACATAAAACTACTAAATTCATTGTAAAGTGAATGATAAACCATAACCCTGGAGATAAATCAGGAAATATTATCGACAATATTCTTAATATAATATCCCATAATGTTTCACTTTCGCTTTCATCTTCTTCCTCTTCATCGTCTTGTAAAAACTGAGGATTGTAAGAAGATTTTTGAATGTACAAATTTAGAGCATTTATTCTGTCTTGTCTGTTCATATAAGACCTCGACATGTCCATCATTAGCGAATGAGGGTATTTAGCCTTCGACCCGCTCTTGTAATTTTCTTCCCTCAGCTCGTTCATCTTGTCCCCTCCACTTGTTCATCGCCCTCTTCTCCGCTACTGTCACGTCTGCTGTCACGTCTGCTGCCACGTCTGCTGCCACGTCTGCTGCTACGTTTGCTGCCACTTCTACTTTATTTGGGACACAGTTTCTCAAACGTACGAATACATGTGAGTACGCATGGGTATGCACATATCTGCTGGCACATACATATGTACATACAAGGAAGTGTTTATATATATGTACATACATGTACGAATACGCACAGGCACATGTGTACGTATACTCTCTGGAGGGGTAATTGTGTCTATTGCCTGTATCTACCTCACATATATGTTTTTTTTTTTTTTTTTTTTTTTTTTTGTCTGGAACGAGTTCATTATCCCTTTGACAGAATTTTATAATTTTTTAAAATTTTTAAATTCGAAATGTGGGAGGAATTTTTGGTGAACAAATATTTCTCCATGAGGAGGTTGAGAAGCACAAGCGTTTTTTTTTTTTTTTTTTTTTTTTTATTTTACTTTACATGTGTGTATATAAGCCTACATATGTGCATATACATATGCATACACATACGCATGTAGATATGCATATATATATTCACGTATTCTCGTGTAGGAACACTCACTATGCATGCCAAACTGCTTTACATAAAGAGGGGTTGATTTTTCCTATGCTCGCGCTTCATATTGCCTCTGACTCAAATGTATATATGCCTCTACATTCAGGTGAAAAAATAAGCCATACAAATGTCGCTCATACATGTGTGCATGTATGTCTAAGACAAATTAAATGCCCATATCACCATCCGCTTTGACGTATACATTTCTTTCCCAATTTTTCCAATTCTTAATGCTAAATATTTCATATGCATACAACTCGGAAGGTAGACATATATACATTTATCTATATACGTGTATCTATATGTATGCATCTATATGTATGTATCTATATGTATTTATCTATTTGTGTGTATCTATATGTATGTATCTATATGTATGTATCTATATGTATGTATCTATATATACCCCTGCGCAACACGTATATATATGTGCTCATGCACAGTTTTCCCTCATTCCCCATGTGTGTACCATTACATGTTATTGAGGAAGGCCTTTTACTCACAAGGAAATTCAAAGTGGCCCCAAATAAGTTTCTCCCTGTGCCCCTCAAACTGTTGAAAATATGTGTCTAATAAACCGATTTAACAGTATATTACCCACTTAAAAAAAAAAAAAAATGTACCAATTTTGTATTCATTAATATATGAGAATTACATTGACATATTTAAAAAAGGGAAAAAAACAAAGAAAAAGTAATTTTCATATTGTAACCATATATTTTTACACAAAATATTTTGTTTTTAAAATGTTCTATCAGTGCTCACTTGAAAAAAATTCTTAAATATTGAAAAAAGAAATTCAGTTAAAATGTACAGCTTTCACAGTTATGCCAAGTCTATGAAAAAAAAAAAAAAAAAAAAAAAAAAAAAAAAAAAAAAACACCTGTACACACATTTTAGCAACTCAAGGAACATGCATAAAACAAAGTCTACCAAAAAAAAAAAACATAAATAAATAAAAAGGCTTCTAAAATTTTGCTCTTGTGAGTAAGGTTTACTTTCTTAAATTGGGTGTATAATATAAAGTTCTAATTAGCTTTTTTTTTTTTTTTTTTTTTTTTTTATATATATATATGGCCACTGCAACACCAAAAGGGCGAAGGGTAGTTTTCCCTTTTTTACATTTTTTTATGTGTTATTTGTTGGTACTGTCTTTCGTAGCTTATACAAAAATTTCTACAACTTATGTATTTTCATGAACCCCTTCTTCCACAAAAAAAAAATAAAAACATATATATATATATATATATATATATATATACACTTTAAACTGGTTCATTTTTCTATATTTCCATTCGCTGTTCCTCAATCACACATATATAAAACAAAATAGAAGTATGGTCACCTAATATAGACATGATAATTTGTGGTAGCATGTTTACAGAATTCAACGTGTGTGTGCATGCATATATGTACACATACCGAGGGAGAATAAAAAGAAAAGATCCATCTGCTCAAGATAACAAAGCATAACCATTGTGCGCGCGTGTGAACATATACTTGCTATATAAATGACAGAATGGATAATTTAATAAGAGAATTTTCTTACATCAAATTTATGAACAAGATTTATGGTAATGGCTTCATATGGTTTTACACCAATTGTATTACTTGTCCCCGTGTGGGAATTGAAATAATTCTAAAGCCTTGACAGCAGTTTCTTATATGTAAGAAATTACTTTTTTTTTTTTTATGCTTAACGGCATAAATGTTATGTTTGCAATTAAAAAAAAAAAATGTTCCTTCATGCCACAAAATGGAGGAAATGTAAGGAAGATATAGCTTGTATGTAGAAAAAATCCTAAACAAAGCAATAGAGTGTTACCCAATTTTATTTTGTATTTATATTCCCCATTTAACTTTTTGTTTTCTTATTTTTTTAGAAAATCATAAAAAACACACTAGTTCAGCTTATTTATTGACTAGCTCTTTTATATTCATATTAAATCCATTCGTGCTCGATAATATACAGCGACATGATTTTGTAGACTTGTGTAGTATGTATTACCTGCATGCAATAAGATGTTGACATTTGCTTGCAATACCATCAATAAACACTATTGTGTTCATATATCTGCTAAAATTCACACATTAGGGTTTATACCTAATCAGACGAAAATCAGGCCATTTGGGATTTTTTTAATTTTTTACCTATCCCTTTTTTCTCATTCCTATGTTCATATATCTACAAGTATAAATCATACCATACACATGCTGCAACATGTTTATGCAAAGTAAAGAAAGGTATTCACTTACATATAACTTTTCCTTATAATTACAAATGTATGTTTTAACTATAATGAGGGGAAAATAATTATTTCTTATTTTCCAATCTGTTAAATGAAAAAATATATTTTCAGTTACACACATTGTAATGCTTATTAGAAAAAAAAATAAAATAAAATAAAATAAGTAGAATAAACATACTCCCTTCCGTTAAATAATAAAGGTCAAAGAGGAGGGTCGCACACAGGTACTAGTATCTTTCCAGGTGAATATTCATTTTTATGTAAATGAATAGGTAAAGAAACGTACACAATTTAAATATGTGTTTATGTATATATCGATGATATTAAATAAATCAGCGTAATGCGGATAAACTGTGAAAGTATCTTAAAGTTTAGTTTGTTATATGAAAACAAAAGCGTTTTTATGTGTTTGTCTATAACCCTAATTCGTTATAACCTTTTTTGAAGATGCTTTCAAAATATGTGCCCCATTTTATGGAATGAAAAAGTTAATTCTTCTTTCATTTTAATGATAATAATCTCATGAAAAGCGCATGGGAAAAACATGACAAAGTCAAGCTAATCTTATGTATAAACATACCTAACCTTTATGTTGTTCTACTACTGCGATGGCAGTTATATATACTATATATATATATACATACATATATGTATATCGTGGATCAAAAACTTGTAAAAAAATAATGCTATGATTTGTGTAGCTAAATTTTTTTTTTTTTTTTTATTTCACGAAACTTAATCACGCCTTGGTAATTTGACCATTTTGGAAATTTTAATTTTTTTTCCCTTTAAAATTCGTAAATTCACATATATTCATTTTCTTCCTACGCTAGCATCAACCACACCACGACCTCTTCAATAAATAAGAAAAAATCGTATTACAAAAATAATAACAAAAAATTTTTACAAGTTTCTCATAAACTCCTAACAAAATTTTAATGCTAAACAAAATTCTCGCATCCCTTTTGCAAAACATTTTAAATTCCCAGTGCATTATTTATATTCCTCAATTATTTATCACCCAAGACGCATAATTGCTTCAATTCGAATTCTAAATTTTTTAAAAGAAACCTTAACAAAAAAAAAAAAAAAAAAAAAAAAAAAAAAATCATGGCTATTTACCTGACTTGTCAGGCAAAAACACAAAAATAAATCCACATAGAAAACATAAAAATCGTATGACATATTTACAGGTTTAGGTACGTTAAAAAAAGAGAGTGTACATGTACATATATATAAAAGCGGAAAAAGAAAACTTGAGAAATAGGCGCAAAAAAAATAGTGCTAAACGGATGAACAAAGGTGGTATATATATTAATGTGAAAACCAAATTACGCTCAGAGAGAAAAGAAATGTATATACATATACTTGTAGTTGCCAGCCGCAAAAGACTTCTCGAGTTAACAAATTGATGGAAGAAAACTCAAATAAAAATACATCAGATGAATGTGCAAAAATTTCTGATTTATTCAAAGACGAAAATAGGAACATCGAAAACTTCAAAAAAAAAATCAAGGAAAATAAGAGAATGGTCCCATCGAGGAAAAAGAAGAGAGAAATAAAAGACGCCGACTCTGAGGAAGAAGAGGAGGCCCTAAATAAAGAGAAAATACTAAAAATTCAGGAACGAGAAGAGGAAGAGGGTAATAATGGCGTAGCGAATTCGGAGGAAGACCAAGAACTTGATAATGACAGTGACGAAAAGGATGAATATTATAAAATTCAGGAAGAACACGAAGAAGAAGATGCTAGGGGAAATAATCTGGGGAAAAAAAAAAGAAAATCCAAATTGAAAAGAAAAATCGACCAAGAGGAGAATGCGGGAAATGGTGGCACAGAACAGAACACGGAAAATGACTTTACTAGTAAGGACAACATTTTTGGGGATCAGAACTTTTCAGATGAAAGCCAAGGCAGCAAATATCATGAGGAAGAAAATAACGACAATTCTGATAACAGAGACAACGACGATGATGATGATGATTATAATGCTAATGAGAATAGTGTAAAGGAAAAGAGAAAAAAAAAAAAAAAAAAAAAACTACTTTCTAACAAAGATAAGAAAATAAGCGATGGAGATAATATGGAGGTAGAGGATGAAGGAAAAAAAAGGAAAAAAGAGAAATTAATAGAGACAACAAATAGCAAGTTTATAGACAGTGTAGCAGAAGAAGGGGAAGAGGCGACGGATGAAGACGAAAGTGAAGATGACACCGAGGAATACGAGGAAGAAGATCTAAGTATCGATGACAAGGACGTAAAAAAAAATAAGAAAAAGAAAAGATCTCGGAACAATGAGAACTTTAACAATTTAAGCATATTAGATGATGAAAGAGGATACGACAATGATGTAGTGGATTCGAACAAATCTGAAAAAAAAAAAAAATCTCATTTTGATGAAATATTAGAAAATTTGAAAATGAAAAGAAAAAGAGTACAGAAAATTTCGGAAGATGATGGTCTACAATATTGTGAAAACGTTTTAAATCAAATGATTTTAATGCATGAACAAGATGTAAAAAATATGAAAGAAAAAAAACCAGCAACAGCTAAACTTCAAACAATTGATCAAGTATGTAAAATTCTAACAAAGCCGAAATGGAAACCTTTTTTTATGAAATTAAATATATATCACGTATTAGCATTATGGTTAATGCCAACATCGAAAAACACTTTACCCAATTTCACCATAAGGACTAATTTACTGAAAGTTATACAACAATTACCAATTACTATAAAATCCTTGAGAGGTAGCCAATTAGGAAAAATAATGACATACTTACACACACATAAAGAAGAAACAGAAGAAAATAAGAAATTAATCAGAAGTATTTTACAAAATTGGATGGGACCCATTATAGGTATTAATACAAATTATAAACAGTTTTTAAAAGAAAGGCAAAAAAGAATATTAGAAAATCCGGAATATCATAAAAAAGTTCTTGAAAAAGCAAAAACGCTCATACCTGATTCCATATGTATTGAAAAAGAAGAAGAACAAAATGAATTTAAAAGACATGCTACCATACCTTTCAATAGTGAATGTTCCTTTTTAATTAACGTACCGTCATCTGTTCCTAGTTCGAGTAAAAAAATTCTTCCAAAAAGTAAAATAAAGAGGCTTACTGATAATATGAAATTATTGAAGAGAGCTAGAAAATCACAGAAGGTATCTATTGAGGGAAAGGGGATTGCCATGTAGATGCACAATTAGGTGTGAAGATATTGCACTTTTCTTTTTCTCCTCATCACTACCACCACCATCACCCTGGGTCTGATAACTTAAAATAAATCATAATTTTGAGAAAAACAGTTCCACCTTTTTTATGTACGATGATGATGAAGAAGAGGAAGAAATAACATGAATATAACGATGGCTAGCTCGATTTAACATTTGAGTAAAAAACTGTAAACGTTATTTAATGGTTCTTCTGGGTGAAGCAGGTTTACGGTTGGTTTGCTTGATACCATTTACTCCGTATTCAAACCTATTTGAAGTCTATGTATAATCATTGTTAAATTTTTGTACATATTGTTTGGGTATTGTGCAAATTAGAAACAATGGTCTGCAACATACACTGATTTGGCGATGGCCTCTATATGACGGTAGAAGAAATGTTATACTTGGCAAACAAACCTCATAACAATTCCCGTACTTATATGATATCATGTGTATGTCCCCATTTGCAATCCAATCATTTTTTTTTTTTTTTTTTTTTTTTTTGCCTCATTTGTTATTTTTCTTACCCGAATATGCTGTGTGTGTATTTAAGTGTGATTTTCTTCCTCGAACATGGAATAGTTAAAAAAAAAAAAAAAAATTTTATCTATCGTTAGTTAAATATTCAAATGGTTCCTAATTTGGATGTATTACATATTAGTGAAGTCATTTGTGTGCTAATATTTTTTCTGCCTTTCTTTTTTTTTTTTTTTAGCTTCAATGTATATATCATATTTGTCTTTTTTTGAGGCAATTTTGCCAAATTATTTTATAAGCCACAATTTGAATAGATTACCATTTTTTTCTTCCATTTCAGTCCGCTTTTATTTTATTTTTTATTATTTTATTTATTTATTTATTTTTTTTTTTGTGTACAACTTGGCACAAAGCATGTACCCTGTGAATTTCACAACACTACAATCGTATTTATATAATATAAACAAATCGTGAGAAAAAAAAAAAAAAAATGAAGAAATAAATAAATAATTAAAACTGATTCCATGCGATTATATGTGTGTAGATACATTTTTACATATCATCATCTATTCATGTAATTATTCAGGTAACGTAAAGCCATAGGGGTCATCATCAATTCAAAAAAAAAAAAAAAAAAAAAAAAAAAAAGGAAAGGAAAGGAAAGGCAAAGACATCTTAGAGTGTGTTGCAGTGGTTTGGCGTCCTCACTATATTGCACAACTGAAAGAGGAATTTCTGAAAAAAAATCATGGTATATATATATATATCTGCATGTAAATGTAAATATTTGCATATTTATTCATCTACATCCAGACGTTTGTTCGTGTTTTACCAAGAGAGGAAATTACAACTCTCCTTCTCTTCCAATTTTGCATATATAAATAGCTAACCAAACGAGGTAAAACGAGTCAGGGGAAAAATACACCTTGGTAGCATTCATTGTGCAACACTGTGCATATAGAACAGATAAAAGAAAACACACATGTAGAGTAAGTAAAGCATAGATCTAAATGTGACTATGCGAATATAGTGATTTTCCAATATGAGATATTACCATTTGCACAGACATCAATAGAATGACGAAAAATGCCAAAAAAAAAAAAAAAAAAAAAAAAGAAGTTAACTGATTTGTTTTGGAACAGTTCTGATGTTTTTTTTTTTTTTTTTTTTTTTATTTTGAAGTCATAAGAATTTGGTTGTCGTGATTAACTTTGTTAAGGAAGCAGATTTTCATTCGTTTCGTTCGCTTTATTCGCTTTATTCTCTTCTGTTGTATTAATTTATTTGCTGCTCCCCGTTCATTGCAGTCTGTGGTGCCATGGGGAACGAGGGGGAGGGGGCTACGTAAAAATTCGCAAGTGAAACAAAATGTCTCTGCGTTGAAATGAATGAACACACGTTCATTTGTCCCCTTCACATGTGTCACATCTCTTGTATACGAATAAAAAAGGAAGTATATACACATGTGTGTATTTTTTTTTTTTTTTTTTTTTTTTTCTTCTTTTTTTTTTGATTAATTTTGTCTGATTTCAATGAGCTTCTTTTGCGCTTTGTCTGTCTTTTTGTACAATACACTTTTGAGTAAAAATAATAATGCCATGAAAGAAGCATTGAAGGAGTGTAAAAATAGAAGAGAGACAAGTGAAGATGGGTACTTCTACTTTCACATGAGCTTACACGGATAACATGTTATAGTGAAAAGAAGTTGCAATGTGGAAAAATTATGTGGTCAATATTAACGGCATTTTCCTTTGCTCATAAATCAAGACGCCATTTCGGTGCTCAAAATGTTCATTCATTGAAAGGACAAGGGAAATAAATCCAATCAAGAGGGGAGGGGTGATGATTGTTTAATTGTAATTCACCCAATTGTGAACTGCACGAATGGGTGCACGGAAAATTGTTGCGAACAGAAAAAATTCGCAAAAGCTGCATCGAAAAAAGAATTACACAAAAATTATGCTACGAAAAGAATTTAGCAAAAGCTACTTCGAAAAAACAATTACGCGAAAAATATATTTCCAAAAAAAAAACAAAAAAAAAAAAACCAATTCGAAGAACGAGATAAGGAAAACATACATGCTACCCTAACAGTAACACTCCAATTCTGAGAAATGTTCAACGTATATCCTTTCACAATATCGTGATATTTCCTCTCAGAAAAAAAAAAAAAAAAAAGGGGAGAAAATATGGAAATGGGAAGATGAAAAATGGACAAGAAGGGGAATGAAGGAGGGACTATACATCAAAATGATGCATCAGGCATTCTTACTCAAAGAAAATCAAAAATACATTCGGATGAAGAAATGGTAATACAATATCCTAATTATGGAATTCACCAGAACGTGAAGAAACAAGACATGCAAAGAAAGAGAACAGATCAAAGTGTTAAAAATTCTATTTATCAAAATATTTTTAACAGAGATCTCTTTATGAATATATTTAAAAAAAAAAACTGCAATAATATACATGAAAAATGTAAAGAAAATGATGGAAAAAGAGAGAAACATAAAGAAGCAATGTGTATGAATAAGCAAGATGTAAATGAAGATGAGGAGTACATGTTATTTTTAAGTTACATATATAATGATGTAAAGTCATTTATTGAAAGTAATAAAAATTATCACTTAACAAATTCCAACTTTTCAGATATTGAAGATCTCATATTAGACATATGTGATACCATCTGTCGAGATGCCTTTCGTAACATAAGGTCTATATTTAAATCACATAAACAGGGAGTTGACACTAACACAATTGAATTCTCACACGCAAACGATGGTAGTAGTGTAGACCATGATTACAGTGCTAGTGGCAGTGACAGTCATAAGCAGCATAAGGAAACGAGTGATAAAAGCAAAAGAAAGAATTTAAAACATAGCTACAAAACCACAAATGAATCTTCTTTCTTTTTCATACCCCCAATGGAATTCCTAGTTACACATATTCACAAGCTAAGCACCAAAAAAAGTGCTCTCAATGACAATAGTCCCATGCCATCCAACCTTAAAGAATTCTTAAAGAACAATAACTTTGATCAGCACCCTATATTTGCTACACCTCATGTAGAAAATGAATCCTTAAGTTATGACAAAATCATGTCTCAGGAAGTGGAAGTAATAAAGGGAAATGATCCACAGGTTCCCGCTGCATCTGATATTTTTGCAAAAAGAGGTGAATCATTCCTCTTAAATGAAAATAGAACTTCTTTTCGTAAGGGAAATTTCAACACGCCCCATTCAGAGTGTCAACCAGATTGCAAACCAGACTATCAACCAGATTGCAAACCAGACTGTCAATCAGATTTCAATTCATATGGGCATGCCAACACACAAGGGCAGTTCCCCATTCTCAAGGGTAGAGAAAAAGAGAACATATGTGATTACACACACACAGGAATGAATTCATATCCCAAAAAAATGTTTCAAATGCAAAATGAAAATAAGCTACGGGATTTTGAAAATACAACATATGATATTTTCACGAATGGAACCAAACATAAAGATGAACTGCTTAAAATATTGCATGTTGATTACACACCAAGGGAATGTTCAAAGGGTAATAATACCAATTTAAATGTCGACTCGAACATTCATAAAGACAAATATCTCATGAATTTTCCTACGTACAAAGAAAATAAATCTAGTTATCATTATCCACAGTATCACAATGAATGCATATCATCGCCCATACAAAAAGTAACAAGTTGCCTGAACATAAAAGATCCGATCAACCATTCTTCAACCTCAAAATCTGACAGTGTTCATATTTTTAACTCAAAAAATGGAGATTCAAATGAGAATCCTCTGCCTCATAACATTCCAGACAAAGAAGATGTAACCCCAAATTATTATTTTTTCCCTGATGAAAAAATTATGAATGATAATACAAAGGGGAGCCATGCGTCCCATGGTGGAATAAATCGCTCAAACGCGTCTAACCATTCTGATCATTCTAACCATTCTGGTCATTCTAACCATTCTGATCATTCTAACCATTCTGATCATTCTAACCATTCTGGTCATTCTAACCATTCCGATCATTCTAACCATTCTGGCCATTCTAATCGTGGAAATGTCGATAGGGATGCGGGGAAAGTGGAATTCGAGGAATACCTTAATGACTATGTTAAGCAGACGAATATGAATTATGATAACCAAGATATGGATACGAATGATGAAGACATGGAAAGTGATGAAGACGAGATGGAAGGTGGCGAAAATGAAGAGGACTATGGTGATGACCAGATGGGACGTGATAAAAACGAGCTCAATGCCGCCTGGAGAGAAGATAACAGAATGCATATGAAAACTTTTACCAACGCAGAATCTCATCCAAGCGACCAGTTTCCCACACATTCAGATAACAAACCACGAAAAACACCTGTGGACGATCGAAGGGGTAAGAACACCACAACCCCAGAGAGAAACCATTCTAGAGAAGGAGAGAATAATAATGAGATCTATAATACAAAAAAAAGTAACATAAGAGAAAGAAGTGATGAAATGGAAAAGATTGACAACTCAAAAGGAAAATCTAAAAAAATAGAACCTGGAGGAAATGAAATTTATCGAAAGATAATCGAACTTGACGAAAAAGAGTATCATGAAAAATTAAAAAAATTTGAAAAAAATAAAAAAAAATTTCAAAATGAAATACAAAAGGAATTTACCAAAAATGATAATCCACACGATGATTATTATCACTTCAAATATTTGAACAATTCAGAAAACACTATAAATCCTTACCAGTATACGAAGGTCCACAAAAAGGCAAATATTCAGGTAACAACATCTCCGTTTCCACAGTTCTTGAGGGACATTCAGATTTACAACATAAGTCAGAAAAAAATCAGGCTAAAAAAGTAGGTCCATTTTGCACTCCTTCCCCCACCTCACCGAGCTCTCAAGTGGCCATCCACATGCGCATATACACACAAATTTACGCATGCATGCAAGAATAGAAGCATAGACGCATAGAAGCATACATGTTTTTTTTTTTTTTTTTTTTTTTTTTTTTTTTTAGAACAAATATAACGCTCAGGAAGGACCATGTAGGCTTTCACAAAGTGGAAACCCATAAGACCACTTTTTTTTTTTTTTTTCCCATTATATTTACACACGAATTTAATATAATTTAAACTTTTACATACCACACGTACATACCACGCGTACATACACTCGCACATGTGAAATATTTTATTCCTTTTTTTTTTTTTTCCACACTTTTCTTCCCCTTTTTTTACAGGCTACTACAGGGGTCCGAGAAAAGACAGCCAACAAGAAAAAAAGACACGACAAAAAAGAGACAAATTGATTTATATAATTATATTTATAAGGAACTAAAGTGAAATGTGACACGAAGCACTAAGAAGTCATGTATCAAGGTGGTGTGGGGGACACACATTATCAGGCATAAGTTTGCTCGACGTACGTTTACACCACCTATGTTTACGTTCCTTATGTTTACATGGCTTATGTTTACATGGCTTATGTTTACATGGCTTATGTTTACATGCCTTATGTTTACATCACCTATGTTTACGTGATATATGTTTTTTTTTTTCCTTTCCTTTACAACGCTGTGCGACCTGTTGTCAAATTGGACCTTACCCCCGTTTCTCTTTTTTTTCGTAACATTTTAAGTTTTTACCAACTGGATATACAATGGATACACTCATTTTACTTCATTTTTCCCCGTTACTTTTAAACATAACTTTTTATTTGTACTTTTAATTTTGAATAGATTTACACCTTTTTTTTTTTTTTTACGTAAAGAGCTCGCTCGGGTCCCCAAAACTACGTACTGTTTTGCATGCACCTTTCTTCATAATGGTCACTGTTTTACAAATATCTTAATCATGTTTTTTTTCAGCATTTCCAATTAACATTTTTCGAGTTTATTAAAAAATGGAAAAACGTATAAATGGAGGAACACTATTTAATATACTCAAAGATAATAAAAAATATAAAGACTTTGTAAAAATGAGTTCAATGTTGCATAATCGGTAAACTCTAGGTCAAACATGCACAACACATATGTTTTTCAGTGCTGAAAAAAAAAAAAAAAAAAAAAAAAAATTTCACCATATCGTCTATATATAAAAAATTAAAACATTTAACCTTAACCTGTTTATGGAAAAATCCTTTTTTTGTATTTTTTTTTTTTTTTCTAAACTTCTATTCTAGCCAATCCATATACCTTTCACATAAATTAACTTTAACAATTTGTTAATAGAAATATAGGGTATCATATTTTGCATGTGAACAGGGACGTGTTCATGTAGGGCGAAGTAGTTCCGGCATGTTTTTTTTTTTTCTTTTTTCTTTTTTTCTCCTTTTCCCCTTTTCTGCAATATTTTCCTTCATATATATAAATTCACATACATTCAGGCATATGTACATAAGCACTCTTATTCAACAAGCAAAACAAAAAAAAAAAAAATAAAAATAAAATAATAAAAAACACGCTAAGCTTGCTAAGGCATAACCCTCATTTCGACATCACTGCACACATGAAGAACACATTCCGATTGAGAATGATGTGAATATAAAATCCTCAGTAGAAAGATCTTCTCCCTTCATCCATTACACCACTTCACGTCACATTTAACATATTTTTTTTTTCACGACACCTTTGCCCTAACAAATATAACTACCAATTATAACTTAAGAAACATCAGCATCGAATGAAATATAATGAGAGTTATCATTCAACGCGTAAAAAATGTAGTCCTCCGTGTGGAGAAAGAAGGAAACAACAATATGAAAGAAAAGGAATTAGAAGTTTTCAGTGAAATAAAGAATGGCATTATCTGCTTCGTTGGGATACACAAGAATGATACATGGAATGATGCTTTATATATAATTCGAAAATGTTTGAATTTACGTCTATGGTCAAATAAGGATAAAACTTGGGATAAAAATGTAAAAGATTTAAATTATGAAGTTCTAGTTGTGTCTCAATTTACTCTCTTTGCAAACACCAAAAAAGGAAATAAACCAGATTTTCATCTTGCAAAAGAACCGAAAGAGGCCTTACTTATGTATAACCAAATGGTTCAAGAGTTTATGAAAGAATATAATGAAGAGAAAATTAAAACAGGAAAATTTGGATGTCATATGGATATTCAGGTCACCAATGATGGGCCTGTTACAATTTTCATTGATAGCCACGATGTCAATTTAACCAAATGAGTAGCTTTTGCAGCTCTGCACACTGTTTTGTCACGTAAAAAAAAAAAAAAAAAAAAAAATCATACAGCGTACATGAAAATATGGTGGAAATGTACATGCAAATATGGTGGAAATGTACATGCAAATATGGTGGAAATGTACATGCAAATATGGTGGAAATGTACATGCAAATATAGATGGAAATGTACATGCAAATATAGATGGAAATGTACATGCACGCACACATAACATAATTCCTCCAAATGGGCGAATACACAATTGATTACTTTATATTACCAAGGAGAGTCAATAGATATTTGTGCTGAATGACACTGTATTGCTATGATTTTTTTTTTTTTTTTTTTTCATCTACTTGTGGGTAGATATAAATAACGCGCGCTTCTTAAGGATGAGAAATTTCCCCAATCACGCGACCATAAGGTGAATCCATACATAAGCACGATTAGAATCTCGCTTAGAATCTTGCTTAGAAGCTTGCTCAGAATCTTTCTCAGAATCTTGCTTAGAAGCATATGTGTCAGCACACTTATATGTAGATTGCCGTGAACTAACTCAATTTACTCAGCAGGAGTGCATTCCTTTCACCCTTTGAAGAGCCCATTTTTTTTTTTCACTTTTTTTTTTTTTTTTTTTTTGCGTACACAAAGCGTTGCAAAAAGAAGCATACAATTCGTTACGCTAATCGAAATCATTAAAAAATTTTTTTTGTAAAATTCTCAACTGATAGAAATCAGAATGACAAATTTTAACAAAAAACAAATTAACGCCCTATTGCCTTTATGGAGTTACAAAACGAAGAAGGGTTACTATGATTATATACAAAGGAAAGTTTTATTTCCCTCCTTCTCACAGGTAAATTATAATAAAAATATTCACACCCGAGCATTTAATGAATATAGCATTTTTCCACTATTTATATACTTGTGCGAATGTGTATTGAAATGTGTGAATATTCTTAACGAAGTTGTAAATTAGTAACAATGTTGTGTATCCCTTGTGGGTTCCAACATGCATGTATATGTATATGTATATGTATATGTATATATATATATATATATGATATACTCTTAGTACACACCATAGAGAAAATTCCCCCATTCGGGTACTGCTAATAAGCGCACAGGATTCTTGGGATAATTTCCCAAGTCAACATTTGCAGCTCATTTTGTATAATCAGTAGACTGAGTGTTAGGGGTGACATGTTTTAGTGGTAGCAGTTGGTGCGTGTGTATATGTAGGGCCAAATGCATGAACTAGATAATTTGTGTATACACCAAGTAGACACGAGAACTTGAGGATTGACAAATGGGTGTATATGCACATTATAAGTTGTGGCTTCACCGATGCAGGCTTGTTCATTCATGAAGGAAATGTTCACGGAAAATGAGAAGATGAACCATCATTGCAAATACATAAATGACTATACTAAAGTTAAAATAAAAATGTACACACACAGTAAGAATTGTGTTAGTGCAAAGGATGTAGCCTTTGCAAACATTGTTGATAGGGCACTAAATAATTATGAACATACAGTGATAAAAGAAAATAATTCTGACGGGATGACAGACACATGATTTGGGTGTGCCCGGATTATTATAAGAAATTCTTCTTTTTTTTTTTTTTATATTTTTTACATGTTATAAGGGGACTTGTAACAAAATGAGGATATCACATTTGGAAAATTCTCTTCCTTTCATTTGTATGCATTTATGTATATAAATTATAATTTTTCGAACTGCTTGTATTGCCCATTTTTTCCTCCAATATGGTTAATCCGTTTGTAATCAGTTGGATATTCTACACTTTGGGAGGGACATGCTAAAATAGCAACACTTAAACACGTTTTTTCAAAATTTTTTTTTAAATTATTACGCATAAAAAAGGAATGAACTTTGTGTAACTGACTTGGGGTGAGACATTCTCAGAAGAAGGGTGTCCATTTCATTTTGTCTCTCCTCAATCTTGTTACAATCCCTCAATGGAAAAAAAAAAAAAAAAAAAAAAATGACTGCAACTACACGTTTGTGTTTTCCTTTTGCATACATAGGGGATTTTCACGTTTGAGATTTGTAAAAATACCATTTATGGCCTCCCACACAGCAAGTATAATTTTCGACAGCTTTTGCATAAGTTGTATACATATATCTGCACATATATCTACACATATACGTATATATTCAAAGGACTACTTACACTATGCTATGTACTCTTTTTTTTTTTTTTTTTTTTTTTTTTCTTTCTCCTTTTTCTACCTTCCTCGTACAACACATATTGAATATGTCACAAATATTCTTCACCATTGGGAGAGAGAATATTCATCATATTATGAATTCTCTTACAATGAGTAGTGCATAGATAATAATATTTTTACAATTCCACATTTTTTATCTTCTTCTTTTTACATTGTTTCACTTGTGAAGAGAAATCTTTTTTTTTTTTTTTTTTTTTTTTTTTTTAAAAAAAAAGTAACTAGTGTGGTGGAGGGGTACAAAGAAGGCCAAATTAAGAGATCACAAAGAGATAATGTAAAATTTTTTTTAGTTAAAAAAAAAAAAGAGCCACAGGATAAGGTATTGTGTGATATATAAATATAGATATATTAGGCAGGTACACATATCCATATGCACGTGAATACTGTAATTCATGTATATTTTTCTTTTACATAGGTATAACATATTTATACATGCTTTCTCCCACAACTGCGCATGAGCAGAGCTCCAGAATTTTTTCTAAATTATTGAACTGATTGAGGCGTAGTACTAATCCATGTAACTTTTACATGTATGTAACATTATATAAGGGATAAGCTTATGCTCATAACAAAGCAAACATATATATGTACAATCTCTATAGCAACATCGGGGAAAATGCATGCGTAAAAATTGTGTACCTACTGATGCCTACATGTTATACATACGGGTATATACATATGAACACATGCACATATGCATATATATATACATATACTCATAGCTATACACATAACTGTACACATGCATATATATGTATATATTTCTACCATGAATATTAGCATTGTGCTTACCACATAACAGGAGATTTTTTGTGCATAACAATGTATGCGTACAACGAGATATCCATGATAAGATACAATAACCTCTCTCCATCCTTCCTCCCATGAGCTATATAATATTATTTTTCATCTTTATTTTTTTTTTTATTTTTTTTCATCTTATTTTATCTTACTTTATCGTGTTTTCTCTTGTTTTCTCGTGTTTTTTCATGTTTTCTCGTGTTTTCTCGTGTTTTCTCTTGTTTTATCGTATTTTATTCTATTTTATCTTATTATATTTCATTTTTTGTTTCGTTCATCTTGAGATATGTTTTTTTTCTTAAACACATTTTAGAATTTCATATTTGAATATAATACAAAATACCACATGAACGAGAGTAGCTTTTTTTTTTTTTTTTTTTTTTTTTTTTATATACATATATATATTTAAAAGAAAAATTAAATTAGCACTACTTGTGAACCTTTTGAAAAAACCAAGCACTATTGTTAATCTACTAAGATTTATGACTTAGAGACTAAGCCAAAAAAAAAAAAGAAGCCAAGGAGAAACAGAAGAAGAAGCCGAAGAGAAACAGGAGCTGGAGAGAAACAGGAGCTGGAGAGAAACAGGAGCTGAAGAGAAACAGGAGCTGGAGAGAAACAGGAGCTGAAGAGAAACAGTGAAACATTGTGAAAAACTCTGTTTAGTGTCCCAAGTCACAGTTTAAGGTAAATCATCACCACTACCCCATATGTAGTATCAAGAAAAACAACGTGGCACGGATGTGTTCGTTCGCAATTATGTGCAAACCTGACACGGGTATTCGTACATGTAAATCTTATACACTATATTCTACACACGATTGAAGAAAGAGATTCTTCTGCAAAGTGGATAGTATCATATAACAAAAGAGGAGTGATGAGAACATAATAGAAGTGTATAGAACAGAATCGAAGTGAGCAGAATAGAATATTAACTTTTAACGGATGTCCAAATACAACAATAAAAAAAAAAAAAAAAGGTGTGGAAATAAAACACAACGGTGTCCCTACACATATATATCATCACTCTTCACAACATACATTCCCGTGCATGTGCACCATTTCTTAAGGAGAAAGTAAACCTAACGTCACATCTCCAGATATCCAAAATTGCACACGCAGAGTTATCTAGCTAAACACACATATATACTGGAACTCACCACGGCATATCAATATCTTCAGTTCAATTGCACACCAGCACCAGCGTACGTACTCTTGAGAAAAAGCCCAACTTACCCACCCCACCAACACACACACACAGATAACCGCCTCCTTGAGAGAGAAAGGATGTCTTCGAGCTCAATTAGTAAAAGAATATATATACCAAAATTTTATGCTGATGTTAATATCCATAAGCCAAAAGAATATTATGACTATGACAATTTAGAACTACAATGGAACAAACCAAACCGATATGAAATTATGAAAAAGATTGGGAGAGGAAAATATAGTGAAGTTTTTAATGGATATGACACAGAATATAACAGGCCCTGTGCAATTAAAGTATTAAAACCTGTTAAAAAAAAAAAAATAAAAAGAGAAATAAAAATATTACAGAATTTACATGGAGGACCAAATATTATCAAGCTGTTGGATATTGTGAAAGATCCAGTGACAAAAACTCCATCTCTTATATTTGAATATATAAATAATATCGATTTTAAAACATTATACCCCAAATTTACGGATAAAGATATACGATATTATATATATCAAATATTGAAAGCATTGGATTATTGTCATAGTCAAGGTATAATGCACAGGGATGTCAAGCCACACAATATTATGATTGATCATGAAAATAAACAAATAAGATTAATCGATTGGGGATTAGCAGAATTTTACCATCCAGGCCAAGAATATAATGTTAGAGTTGCTAGTAGATATTACAAAGGCCCAGAACTTCTTATCGATTTACAATTATATGATTATTCTTTAGATATATGGAGTTTAGGATGTATGCTTGCGGGCATGATATTTAAAAAAGAACCTTTTTTTTGTGGACATGATAATTATGATCAACTCGTTAAAATTGCGAAAGTTTTAGGAACTGATGATCTTCATGCTTATTTAAAAAAATATAACATAAAATTGAAACCACATTACCTTAACATTTTAGGAGAATATGAAAGAAAACCCTGGTCTCATTTTCTTACGCAGTCCAATATAGATATTGCCAAAGATGAAGTAATTGATCTCATTGACAAAATGTTGATCTATGACCACGCAAAGAGAATTGCACCAAAAGAAGCTATGGAACATCCCTACTTCAGTGAAGTGCGCGAAAATTCGTGAAGGGTGTGGCACATTTTCGATCCATAGAATTATATGCCTCTCGCTAACTGCACGTCCCGATTTTTGTACAATTATAGTAATATGAAGAAAATCCAGCTCAACTGTTTCAGCATTTTTTCCCCATTTTTACATGTTTTCTATGTTTTTTCTTTTTCTTCGCTCAATTTTTTTACATTTTTTTTTACTCAATTTTTTTACATTTTTTTTTACCCAATTTTTTTGCATATTTTTTTTACGCAATTTTTTACATATTTTTTTTACGCAATTTTTTACATATTTTTTTTACGCAATTTTTTACATATTTTTTTTACGCAATTTTTTACATATTTTTTTTACGCAATTTTTTACATATTTTTTTTACTCAATTTTTTACATATTTTTTTTACTCAATTTTTTACATATTTTTTTTACGCAATTTTTTATATTTTTTTCGCGCCCCTTTTTTTTTCACACGTTTTATACAGCACAACCGCCTTTTTTTTATGCCCCATTTATTCATAGTTCGCATTGTAACATCCTCATTTTCTTCCCCTCCCCCTTCCCCCAACGTAACAACGCAAATAGAGCACACATATGTTATGATTTTCCTTGTGAATACCCCACACCCCTAATATGTAGATATAGCACATACACAAATGTATGAACATATACAACTTCCTATATATATATATATGCACATTTACATGCGTTTGGGCGCCTATATTAAATAACCACGGCTTCATGTCCCATTTAACGACACTTGTTGAATTGTTAAGATACGTTTTTTTTTTTTTTTTTTTTTTTTTTTTTTTTTCTTTTAAATATTGCCACAAACTACTTTTTAATGGTGAATGTTTTGTGTGCACAATCATGTCTTTGTCATTTGAATGCATAAGATCCTGTTCATCTCCATCGACAAGAGACAACAATTAGGTGTGTATGTATGTATCTTTGAGAGAGAGGGGAATAAGTATCTGGTTCAGTGCTCCATTATCTACTCCATATTCTTAACTAGCAAAAAAAAAAGAAAATTTTTTTTTTCCTATATATATATATATATATTTATATGTATATGTACAACACTCCACAAATTTCCCTTTTAGCAAAAAAATGAAGAAAAAATAAATAATTAAAGTTACATTAATTGAAAACAGTGACAATTGGTGTTTCGTGCTATTTTCTTTTCTGTTCATAAGTACACTTTAGTGTGTAATAATTCCAGATTTACCACTTTTCAAACATAACAAAAAACAAAAAAAAATGTTAATCCGAATTATGGGGATTTTTATTTATACTCCTCTTCGAAGTAGGTTCTTTTCGTGAATTCTACGCGTACGTTCTTTTTCTCGAGTTGCTATTTTTTTTTTTTTTGCGCACACATAACATACATAATGGGAACAATAAAATCAATTATCAAAAAAAAAAAAAAAAAAAAACTTCTAACGTAGTATAGACGCAATTTCACAATATCGTAAAAACAACATTAATACATTTCTACAACTATTTTCTGTTCATTTTGAGCCTTGTAACAACAAAAAAATAAAATAAAAAATGTGGAAAATTAATAAAAAAAAAAAAAAAAAATCATTTTCCCCTAAATAAAAAGCCTTTTTTTTTTTTTTTTTTTTTTTTTTTTTATCTTTTCGTTAACACTACTGCATAATGAGAAAAAAAAAAAAAAAGTTCTTTTTTCCTTATTCTAGAAAAATGTGTTCCTCTATTAAATGTACCCCATGTATCCCTATAGATCATCATTTTAAAACGATTAAATAATGTTTTCATTTCCTGAAATTAATTGATAAAATAAAGGCCAGCTGAACTGGTAAAAGGTAATATATGTACATTAAGGGTGTTGTGGTGGTGGTTGGGGCTATTTAAGAAAAATGTGCTCAGCTCATATTTTTTTTATAGCCCCCTTTTGGTGCGGTGAAAAAAGCGTTTCGTGCCTGTGCACAATTTTATGGTATCGCGAATTTGGTGTAATTTCTTTATTTCTTCGACTATTTACTCAGTTATGCAATGCGGTTATTTATTCAGTTACTTATGTGGTAATTCATTCGGATACTTATGCTATACATTTATGTGTTTGGCTATTTATTTTTTTATTTTTTTTATTTTATTATTTTTTTTTTTTTTTTCGTTTGTTTTAGGGCCATCTCCCCATTTCCCACATTTTCCACATTTCCCTCATTCCATCACCCCCACCAGTATATGTTATGCACACAAATAAATTTCATTGCTTGCCAAAATTAGTACCACAAATTGAAAGTTCTTACATGACCACTTGCTAAGCCTCTCTGAAGGAAACACGACTCGGAAAAAAAAAAAAAAAAAAAAAAAAGAAAAGCATTAAGTATTAGTTTAAGAGAATCTCCAACACTTTATCATAATTCACGTTACTGTTTAACAACTTTTCCTTTGTTAAGATTTGCCAAGCGAGTATGTCACTTTTTGTTAACCCAAGTCAAAATAAATGAAATGCTCAACCATGAAACAATTATACTTCTTCCTGAAGGTATTATAAAAACGCAAAAATACTCTTACGCTCTTATGTGTATGCACATGAACATGTATTTTTTTTTTTTTTTTTACATTAACACACAGCCCTAATCTACATGAACACAAGCGAGAGTAACCAAAAACATGATGAAAATCTCAAATGAGACAACTCAGTTACATTGAATAATTAGACATGGGGATGCAAACCCTAAGTGCCCTTAAAAAAAAAAGCACAGAAAAAAAAAAAAAAAAAAAAAAGGGATAGACCGATCACCTTTGCAATTTCACGAAATGACATGTTCTCATTTAAGATCATGTAGAGAATATACATGCATAACTATTCCAGCATGAAAAACATCTTACGTTTTATTAAAAAATTAATTATTAGGGAAGAAAATTCTCCACCACAAGTAAGGTATTTGTCGATAAGAATACAACTGTGATATGTCAAGGGATTACGGGAAAACAGGTTTGTGTGTTCATCAGTTAGTGTTCATCAGTTAGTGTTCACTAGTTAGTGTTCACTAGTTAGCGTTCACTAGTTAGCGTTCGTCAGTTTGTGTGTGTGTGTGTTTTTTTTTTTTTTTCGCATGACCATTTTGGCTGTTCATAGAATTTGTGCACGCGTTCCTTTTTTTTTTTTTTTTTTTTCTGTACATGTTCAGGGAACTTTTCACACAACGGAAGCAATGAAATATGGAACAAAAATGGTTGGAGGTGTAAACCCAAGAAAAAAAGGAACAACATGGGAAAGTCTGGATAAAAAATATAAACTTCCTGTTTTTGGATCATGTATGGAAGCCAAGGAGAAAACGAATTGTTACGCATCCGTTATATATGTACCTCCAGAACATGCAAAAAATGCTATAATTGAATCAATTGAAGCTGAAATTCCTTTAATTGTTTGCATAACTGAAGGAATATGTCAACATGACATGATTGAAGTGAAACATTGCTTGAACATGTCTAAAAAGAGCAAATTAATAGGCCCCAATTGTCCAGGTGTAATAAAGCCAGATGAATGTAAAATAGGGATTATGCCCTCACATATTCATAAAAAAGGATGCGTTGGAATTGTAAGTAGGAGTGGAACATTAACATACGAAGGTGTAAATCAAACAACCAAAATTGGACTAGGTCAATCAACATGTATAGGTATTGGTGGAGACCCATTCCATGGAACCAGTTTTATTGATTGTCTTAAATTATTTCTAGAAGATGATGAAACTAAATGTATTTTATTAATTGGAGAAATTGGGGGAAATGCGGAAGAGCAAGTAGCCGAATGGCTAATACAAAATAATGTTGATGATGGGAAAAAAAAAAAAAAAAAAAAAATTTTCGCATTTATAGCTGGAAAATGTGCACCCCCTGGAAAAAGAATGGGTCATGCAGGTGCATTAATTAGTGGTGGAAAGGGCACTGCAGATGAAAAAATTCAGGCTTTAAAAGCTGCAGGTGTTCATATAATTATGAACCCAACTCAAATGGGCCATGAAATACATTCTGTAATGAACAACAGTGTGTATTGAACAACATTGCGCAATTCCTATGATCATATATTAACTTTTGTTCACAAGCAGTGTGCATGATGTATGTCGCATCATATGCAGGCAGAAATTTTTATCAAACATGGATGTGTTGTCGTGATTCTTCTCAAAGATAAGAACTGCGTAGTGAGCTAAGTAGAATCCCTTCTTTTTGCACCAACACTTCACAGATGAGCTATGAGTCACGCTTCTACGTCTTTTTTTTTTTTTTTTCCTCTTTTAAAGAATTCCTTTAAACCAAAGAAAAGAACACCTAAAATGCACTCACCACTCCCATTAGCCGCTTTGCATTTCTGTAATGAAAAAATATGGTTGAATATATGATTCCATTATGTAAAAAATTTTTTATATCGATCTGCATGCACACGTTCAAGCAACTTAATAAAATTTATCAAGTTCGGTAATACTCTTATATATATGACTATATAAATCTCAAAAACGATAAAAAAATATGGGCTGAATCGGCATATATTATTTCTTCATCTGTCGCAAAGTATTATTCTGTCCTTGTTTCTGAGCATGCATAGGTCATTGTCCATACCAGTTTTAGGGTTTTTTTTTTTTTTTTTTTTTTTTTTTTTTTTTGCACACACAGATACAACACCACCACCATGCTGTATTGCAATTGAATTGATTTTCATTTTAAAAAAAATACAGGTTATGACTAGAAGAGGAGAGAGGAGAACATAAACACATACATGTTCGCAAAAACCGTGAATGTAACCCAAAAAAAGAACCCTATGTGTTCAAGCGTATTCGTGTTCAGTTCTACTGTTCATCATTGACTGTGTTTATTTTACCCATAGTAAATGTTTACCTATAGATCCACCCCTCCAAAAGACGTGTCAATTTGGTACTCTTGGCACACACAATAAGAGATATACATAAAGCCATTTTAATTCCTAAGTTGCAATTAGCATTTCCACCAAACGGTAGTGTGTTTTGCTATGTTTGAGTAAAACGCATGTGGATATGTATTACGCACATGGAAATTACTATAAAATAAAAAATACATTAACAATAAAAAAAAATTCCGTTTTTTTTTTTTTTTTTTTTTCTTTTTTTTTTTTAAATATTGATGAGCAGATTATGCATATAAAACATTATGTAGTAGCATATATGAAAAAGGAATATTTAGCCGTTCTTATGTATTAAGGGAAAAAAAAAAAAAAAAAAAAAAGGAAGAAAAGATATTGATAGCATAGACAAGTGTTTCATGACGAGATAAACATAAAAAGGATATACGTTACATGTTACGTAAATGATATACAACATTGGAGAAAAAAAAAAAAAAAAAAAAAAAAAAAAACACCCCCACACACGTGGGGTATAAATGTCAGTAACAAAAAGAAAGAGCCATTAAATGAAAGCAACAAAATATTTATCTATCTTTGATTAATCATCCTTAAGTGCTTCATTCCCCTATATTGGTTCTTTTGATTTCATAGTGGTTTCGTGCAGTTTTGTCTTTTGTCTTTTGTCTTTTGTGTTTTTTTTTTTTTTTTTTTTTTTTTTTTTTTTTTAAACCGTGTAATGTGTATGTGTTATCTACATGTACATATATGCATTAATGCACAGTAATACATATACATACACGTACAATGATATATAGACAACAAGGAATTCATTTATTAGTTGTCTCTTCCAAGTGGAGGATGTTGAAAAAGCATATATTATAACTCGTCGGGTATCGGAGCCTTGCTTGTAGAAGTTTCATTGGAAGAATCATCCTTGTCATCAGATGATCCATCATCTTGGTCTAAATCATCATCTACACCTACTCTATTTTTACTTGATGGTAGAACCACATTTTTCCCAATGTCTAACTTAAAATCTTCTGGATATCTTAAAATATCTCCATAATCTGTCAATGAGGTTATAGCTAACTTTAAAGCCTTTTCATTCCACAGATCAGCTGTAATTGGTTTTCCTTCAAATATATTATCTTTAATTTCGGTTAAATTAATAGAACCTGCCTCATTTGATGGATCAAAGTAAACTTTAACAATTTCTTCTTTGTCTATAAATCCATCTTTATTTGTGTCGAAAAAATTGAAATCATCCAACGCTACATCATCATCTTTTTTTGCATGTGGATCATCTGTTCTTGTTTGTTTAAATTCATCAACAGATATTCTTCCATCTTTATTAACATCATGATGTTCTAATATTTCATTAATTTCCAATTCCTTTAATTCTTCATCTTTCATAGGATCAATTAATAATCCAACTTCGTTAATATTTAATTTACTATCTTTATCTTTATCAACTATTTGAAACCTTTTTAATAATCCTTCCGAATGTTTCTCTACTTCTTTTGCATCTAAGTTTTGTGAAAATGCTTCATTTAATTCTGGTAATGATATGAACCCATCTTTATCTGCATCTATCTGCTTCATTTCTACCTGCACTTGTTTTAAAAATACTTCATTTTTTACATAATTTGACCACGTACTCAATTCATCTTCTGTTATTAAATTATCACTGTTCTTATCAATTATTTTAAATAATTTAGCTATTCTTTCTTTAGCTCCTTTTATATCAAGTCCAAGTATGTCCTTTACTTGTTCATCATTTAAATTAGTTAAATCATCAAGTCCTCTCATGTCAGCATATTTCAGTGGGATATCTGCACCACCTCCCAACACATTTTCCTTTAGATAAAATACCAGACACGCCACAAGCAAATTATAAACACACGTTTTCATTTTCCCGATAATTTTATTCCTTACGAAGTAATTTTTTTCACACCTTTTTACGTATTTGCCTATATGCCTATTTTGGCACTTTTCTATTTGGGTACTTTTCTATTTTGGCACTTTTCTATTTTGACACTTTTCTATTTTGGCACTTTTCTATTTTGGCACTTTTCTATTTTGGCACTTTTCTATTTACCTGTTTGTGCTCCTGTCAATGTTCTGCTTTGCTTGTGCACCGCGTGCGATTTTCTCTTTTTTCTTTTCGTTTGTTTCTTTTTTTATTCCTCTAAATTGTTGGAGGGGGTGGTGACGGGAAGATTCTAAAGATTCGTTTCACAAGAGCATAGGAAAGTATATATTCCAATGTATGTTTTAAGGGTGTCATAAAAAAGTGGAAATCGTGAATAATGTATATTATTTATGCGCGTGACAAGCATATGCATGTAATGTGTGTATGTGTATGTATTGCTTCTCCTCTAGTGGCACGTTGTTCAATTACACGTATTATATGTGTATTTGACATGCACGCTTACCGTTTACATAAATGTGATATGGATTATTCAAATCATCTGAGGCATTCAAGGTTCTTGTATTTCTGCTTTTTTTTCTGCTTTTTTTTCTGCTTTTTTTTCTGCTTTTTTTTCTGCTTTTTTTTCTGCTTTTTTTTCTGCTTCTTTTTCTGCTTCTTTTTCTGCTTTTTTTTCTGCTTTTTTTTCTGCTTCTTTTTCTGCTTCTTTTACTGCTTCATTTACTGCTTCATTTACTGCTTCTTTTTTGCTTCTTTTTTGCTTCTTTTTTGCTTCATTTACTGCTTCTTTTTCTTTCCCTTTTTTCCTTTTTTTTTTTATTCCTGTTTTCGCAAAACTAATTTTTTACTTTGTTGTGATTTACCCAATGAAAATCTTCTTTTTTGAATAATTTTGTAAATAAGTGTAATTCCTCTAGTAAAATGTAAAAAAAAAAAAAAAAAAAAAAAAAAAAAAAAAAGGACTAGGGGTGGGGGGTTCCTGAAAAATACTTTTTATTTTTTATACTTTTTCAAAGGGTCGAAAAAACACACTCCTTTTGTATTTTTTTTTTTTTTTTTTTTTTTTTTATCCCTGCCTTGTTCGATATGTGACAATTTTATTTTGCAATAAAAAAAAAAAAAAAATTCATGCACTGTGCTTGAAGAGTAACCTGTTAAAAAAAAGAAAAAAAAAAGAAAAAAAAAAAAATAGGCATGAAGAACATTCGAGTACCTCATAAGCTTATATTTCTTACTTTTCCTGTCAACACTTCAGTGTGCCCTTTTAACCTTACACCCATGCACAATGTCCATATTCATGTATATTTTATTTTTATTTTTCTTATTACCTATTAGGCTCAATTGTGTAAGGTAATAATATTATACACACTTCTCCTCACATTTTCACCTTAGTCCCGTGCTGCCTCTCTACCTTTGTCGTGTAAGTATTGTCACATTAAATATATATGATGCATAATCACAATATATCCATCACACAATCGGGTGCTACACATACAAATGTATATGCAGGAATATTGCATATGGGGTGAGTATATTCTTATGCATGAATAATATGCATATGTTCGCATGGCATTATACCCGTGGCTTGCAAAATGTAGCCTCGTGCACTAATTTTTTTTTTTTTTTTTTTTTTTTTTTACTGCAAAAAAGATATGAGTCCCCTTGCCCATGTTTTTTTATCTCTTAATGATTAATACATTCATATGTATATGCATGTATGTTTGCATGTACAAATGTATGGATTACATATATGATCTCTCTCCCACTTTGCACTTTACTGCCTAAGGTGATCTGAATTCCATTTTGTACTAAGCTGGAAACGTATGAAAAATGAGACTTTTATATCAAAACTTTGCGTGTATTAAAATCACATTTAGGGTGCAGGCTTAGAACATTTGGGGTTTCATGCCCATATACCTATTTTACTAAATACACACAGAGCAATCAGGAACATATCATTATAGAAATTTTTATAGTGTAAAAAAAAGGTAGATAAAAATTACGTTCTACGTTCCAAATCTCCTCCATCCCCATATTCTGTTTTTCTCTCTTGTGCATGTTAAAACCAAAGGGCGAAAGGGGAACACCCAATACAAACCCATAGGAAAATAAGAAAAAAAAAAAAAAATTCTAAACACACTTTTTCAAATGGGATACTTTAGCAATAATATGTGTTTGGAGTAAAATTGGATTCTTTTTTTTTCTTTTTTTTTTTGATGACAATGTTTTAAACATATTGTTCAATATCCGTTTAAAAACCCCAACCTCCAAATGTGCAACTCCCTGTTTTTATCATTGAAAAAAGAAAAAATAATATAAAATTAAAAACCCCATAAATCAATATGTTCCTCTTCTCGATATACACCAGCCTTCACTACAATATAGAGGTAAATTAACCCCTGTATATATCCACACAAGTATGCATATTCCTTATGACTATTTTATTTTAGTTTTATTTCAGTCACAATGTTTATGATATCTTATTTTTTTTTTCTTTTTCTATTACGATAAATATGTGTGTGTGTGTGTGTGTATGTATATACTTCCCCGTTATTCTTCTCCGCTCAATGCAGAACATGCCAATACATTTGGTGTAAAATTTTACAAAAAAAAAAAAAAAAAAAAAAAAAAAAAAAAAAAAAAAAAAAAAAAAAAAAAAAAAAAAAAAAAAAAAAAAAAAAAAAAAAAAAAAAAAAAAAAAATTAAACAAATTAAAAAAGTTGATAAGTTAACAAAGATGAGCTGATGGAAAAATAAAAAAAAATAAGAGTAGTGAAATAGTATAGTCATATGAGTCGCAATAAAAGCGACAGGTAACATGAATAGCTACACATAAATGTAATGAGCAATCCTTGTATGTTTTCATCAGATGCAATTCTCCACCGAGATATATTCCATCAGATTGTTCCTCCCCATCACACTGTTGCAAAATGGAAACATAAAAAAAAAAAAAAAAAAAAAAAAAAAAAAAAAAAAAAAAAAACGTAAAAATGGTAAAAAAAAAAAAAAAAAAAAACTTATCACGGCTTCCTACACCCTACAACATGTACATACACAACGTCTATTTTAAAAAGGAAAAAAAAAAAAAATGGGAAAACCACTATATATACTACTCTATGGCATTTGCTATGAAAAACAGACCATATATCACATGATCCATCTAATATGCACACAACTGCTAACAATTTAATAAAAAACGTAGGAATAAATACGAGCTAGGAAATGTGTACTTTTTCTCCTTATTGCTGTCAAAAGATCGCAGGAAAGGAAAAATGAGAAAAATGAAAAAAATGAGAAAAAAAAAAAAACTCCAACATTTCTTTCCACAACTCCCATTTCTTTCCTGCACAAACCCTATGGTAGCTTCTCCCCCCATCCGTGGAAAGTTAAATCTGCATGGTCACCGTTGGACAATATCAGCTTACACAAAACCCACTGAAAACAATTCCAAGAATATAAACATTTTTCATCTCTGGAAAGAAGTTACAATTCATCCGAATATTTCGACGTTTGGATGAAGCGAATCCCTCGTTTCACAACCTGATTGATGGATATCCCTCCACTAACCACATCCTCAACAAACTTATTCAAGCTTTGTACACTGACTTCTCCATCAAATAGACGAAACTTCTGTCTCTTAGGTCTGAATGCTACCAAATAGAGGCAATTAGCATGCTTACAATCATTGGTGAGACCAAAAGAATCCAAAATATATGGTTGTTCATAAATATTTATATAAAATATTTTTAGCGGATCATTGGCAAATTTATTTGCAATATTTTTTATGTCTTCATCAAATTTTTTATAACTCTGTTTTAATAATTTGAAAATTAAAAAACATATTTGAGAATCCTTTTCATGACATTGACCTGATTCATATTTCTTTTTTGTTAATTCTTGGTAAGAGGTAATATGTCCATATAAATTATTTTTTAATCTATTTTGAGCCACAATGTGACTTAATTTAAGTGATAAAATATTAAAATCAAAAATTTTCAAAAAGGTTAAATCACCAGACAGTTTATCAATATCTTCAACAAGTAAAAGAGATGGGGTGTTAATATTTCTTTTATTAAAAATCTGCATAATGTTATAATTAGAACTGTATATAACACCCATGTCTATTCTTTTTTCAAATTCTATGGATAAAGCTTTCAGCATTACTATATCATCATTATACGAAATAAAAAATAAAACTTTCGGTGTTTCTGCATTTTTTGTTAAAAATTTATCTAATTTCTTCTGACTTGTAATTTCTGTATATACATATGCTATATTTTCTTCTATAAATGTAATTATATTATCTTCATTTCTACTACCATAAAATGTTTCATACGTTTTATTTTTTTTTAACAATATAATATGTGGCAATGATTTCACGTTATACTTACGACATAAACTTTTCTCTTCTTGACAATTAACTACTGAAAATGTTAAGTATCCATCATATTTTTTAGAAATTTTCAAATACTTTTTTTTAAAAGATTTGCAATGTGAACATGATGGTGAATAAAAATTTATAATTAAAGAATATGTAATATCATTAATTACTTTATCATAATTTTGAGAATTTATTTTTAATACTTCGTTTTTATATATATCTTCATATTCTTCTTCAAAGTGATGTCCAAAATTTGGAAACCCTCCTCCTCCACCACTACTACCACCAGATGATGTAAATTTAAAATGAAAATTTCCTCCACGACCGCTGCTTCCTCCTCCTGCTCCACCAGTAAATTGTCTAAATATTTCATTAACAACATCTTGATCAAAATGAAATCCATTTCCAAATCCTCCTGATCCTCCTCCCTCGGCTCCTCCTCCAGCACCACCATCTGCATAATTCTCACCATACATATCATATAATTTTCTTTTTTCTGGATCTGACAAGGTTTCATATGCATTAGCTATTTCTATAAATTCCTTTTCCTTATGAGGAGCCACATCAGGATGATATTCTTTAGCTAACTTCCTATATGCTTTTGAAATATCTTCTTTAGTTGCATTTCTCTTTATACCCAATCTTTTGTAGTAATCCATACCTCTTCCAAATGATAAAAAAAATGATAAAACTATTAGAATCACTGAATGTAGGTTGCTCATTTTTTTTCTCTTCTTCACATTTATCACCTTTATTCTTTTATCTTGTCCTATGCAAATCTTTTTCTTTTTTTTTTTTGTCATATGTTCATTTAACCAGCTCATGGTGCGTGTGCGATCGGCAAAAAAAAAAAAAAAAAAAAAAAAAGATGCGGGGCAAGTCGTGCAAGATGAGCAAGCTTGACAGTCAACAAAAGCAAAATAAGCTTAGAGTAGAAATAGAGAAAACATATACACGTGCGTAGAAACGTGTGTGTGTGATAGTATAGAAGTCTGGACGTTTGTGTAGAAACTTGTTTAATACAGTGTAGATGTCTAGATGCTTATGTAGAAATGTGAGTACAGACGTATGCTCTTCGTGTATCAAGCGTTGCTTACAGATTAGTTCGCTTCTCACGCGCGTCCTTTTTATTTTCCACTACTTCTTTACTACTTCTCCACTACTTCTTTACTACTTCTTTACTACTTCTCCACTACTTCTTTACTACTTCTCCACTACTTCTTTACTACTTCTTTACTACTTCTTTACTACTTCTCCACTACTTCTTTGCTATTTCTCCACTGCTTCTTCACTGCTTCTCCACTGCTTTACTTCCCTGCTTTTGTACAGTCCCCTTTTTCGCACACTGGCTGACACATATGTCACGCAATGGACACCATGTCTTCCTCTATCAAGTTCCTCCTTTTTGTTATTATTGAATTTTTCCCCAATTTTTTTTTTTTTTTTTTCTTTTTCCCCTTTTTTTTTTTTAATTTCAATAATTTATAAAATGTTCCTTATTAAATAAATTTCACTATTTGTCCTGTATGGATAACTATTTTATAGCATAAGCATTGTTTGATATGTGTACGTAAAACTTATGCCTGATTTTTATTATGTTATATATATATATATATATATATGAGTCTTTTTTTTTTTTTTTTTTTTTTTTTTTTTTTTTTTCCCCTCCACTTTTCCAATTATTTTACTTACTCTTTTTCCGTTTAACTTGTAATTGTTTTTTTTTTTTTTTTGTTTTTTCTTCTTTCATATCTCTTCATCATATAATATATCAACATGCATGTAATAGTGTAAAAAATAATTTAAAATATTAATTATTTTTAAGCCCCCGTAAACTTATCAAAAAATAATTATTCCTTCCTCACCATGTGCTAAAAAGCGGGAAAAAAGGAACGAAAAATGGAAGGAAAAAAGGAGCGAAAAATGGAAGGAAAAAAGGAGCGAAAAATGGAAGGAAAAAAGGAGCGAAAAATGGAAGGAAAAAAGGAGCGAAAAATGGAAGGAAAAAAGGAGCGAAAAATGGAAGGAAAAAAGGAGCGAAAAATGAAAGCAAAAAAGGAAAAAAATAAGGAAAAAAAAAAAGAAAAGCTTGGCCCTTATTGCAAGCTCACTTTCACAACTTTTGAATTGTTGCTGTGCAGTGCCTCAAAAAATATATACGAGCACGTACTTATGTGTACTAGTCCCCATGCATATATATCGTACAATATATATGTCGAAAATGTTTTATGTATTGCTGATATTTGTGTATGTATTTGCATATATTGCATACATTGTATGTACTGCATATATATATTGTATATATTTGTATGCACTCTATGTATACAATTTCTTTTCTTTTTTTTTTTTTTTTCTTTTCCGTTCTCCCAAATTTTGTCAAGATAATTGTGCTATAAAGCTCCTTGGACAGCACAAACGTGAAAATATGAAAAAAAAAATGGGGAACAAACATATACATACGCTATTAACACGTGGATACATGGGCTACTAACACACATGTATGTAAAGTACGTGTAAGTGTGGAACACACACCTTCGCTGAATACCCCTACTTGTATATAAACACTTTTATGCTTGTAATATATAACCAGTTTGGCTAACCTACTTCCCCATGTTTTTAAAATAAGCTTTTAGCAAATCTTTTTTTTGCTTTGTTTTAAAAGCATATGTAAAAGGTGTGAAGAATTTTAAAGTTGTTTTCAGAACACTGTGTTCCAACTTATCCAATCAGTAGAGTTTTTTTTATTTTATTTTTCTATATTTTTGCATTTATGTTTTTTTTCTTTTTTCGGCTTGATTATTACCCGTCTACCTCATCTTTTCGATTAAATGACAAAATAGGAAAGCTGCTTTTTCTGGTTGTAGTAATATAAAAATATGAGCTGTCAGAATTATATATATATATTTATGTATATATATTTCTTTTTTTTCCTTTTCCTCTTTTTTTTTTATATTTATCCATGTTTAATCCAGTTTTTACGCACAAAGTCTAAATAAACTTCAGGAAAACCAAACATGTATAAAAGGAAATTATATTTTAAGCATATGTTAATGTGAAACTATAACAAATTCTGTAAAGTGAAAATGAATTTCTCTTAACCGAACAATGAATTTTAAGAATTCTTTCCACTAAAAATTAAAAACCCACAAAATAGTGTAACATGTGTGTAAGACAATCCTACGTGTATGAATTTTTTATTTTGACATGTGCACAAGCAAATACGTCTTTTAAGTCTGCAAATATATCGATAACAATTCGTTCAAGTGGAAAATTGTAAAATTGTAAAATTGTAAAATTGTAAAACTAAAGAATTAAAAAAAAAAAAAAATAATAAAGACAAAAACAAACAAATATACAAACAAGCGAGCGAGCAAATGAAGAAGGGAAAAAATAAATACAGAACTATCGGACGCGAAAAAGGTACACCCGAAATGACAAGTACCAAATTAAGAAACAATTTTAGGCACACGACATGTAACAAAAACAATACAGTTATCTTTAAAAAGCCAATCGAGTCTTCTACTAGGGGTAGAGGCTCATAAAGTTTTTTTCTTATATAAGTTATTGTTCCCCTTCTCTGCGCTCCATTATTATTGCTTTCCATCTTTCCTTCTTTTTTTTTAAAAAAAAAAGTGTTCCTTTCCCCATCGTATGTGAAAAATATTTATAAGCGAGTAAAATGACATAAAAATTTCACAATTACTCGGATGTGCAGAATTAATTTTTTCATTTCTCGCAGCTCATGGTTTTCCATTATGTCATTCACGTCGCCACCTATTTTTGTATCCATATATATTTGTTCCCTTTTTTTTTTTTTTTTTTTTTTTTTTTTTTTTTTAACTTTTTTTTTTTTTTTTTTTTTTTTTTTTTTTTTTTTTTTCTTTAACGCTCTTTTTTTGCACCCATTCCCTAATTTTCACTTTTACTTTTATCTTCTCAATTACCCATACACGACATAACTCAAAACATATCAGGGTGTATCAAAACAGAAGAGCCCGCATCCAAATATCGTAAATATAAAAATTCAACATTTCCAGCAAATTATTGAGAACCCCCTCTCAAAAAAAAAACCCATATGAGGTGATGAGTAATACAAAATCACTTCTACTTCTCGACACACACTGATGAAATTGTAATGTCGTCCCATTATAATAACTGTTTGTACAACATCACCAGGAGATAGATACCTTTTTAGATTCTACTTATATATCAATCTTATATACATATATATATATATATATATATATATATATATATATATATATATAGTGTAAATTGCACATGAGCTAGACTAACCTCTGTGCAATTTTTTTTTTTTTTTTTTTTCCCACTCATCTTTAACCATACAAGAATTATTTAACAAGAAAAGAATGCCCACTTCAAATCTAACTCCATTTCTATACATAACAGCATTTCCAAAAGGTAACTTCTACAAATGCAAACGCACCGAAAAAGACATATCACATTAACCATATCCCCTAAGTGTTACATGTGAAAAATATATCTACGTACACTCAATAATTGTGCAAAAAAAAAAAAAATAAAATAAAAAAATCGAAATGGGAAATTCTGCTTCTTCCAAAAATGAACATGTGCAAAAAAGCCTAATTCTGTTAAATGATGATCTTACGTATAATTTAAAAAAAAAAAATCAAGGAACTAATGTTGAAGCTAGTGGAAAAAAGGAAGAGATGGAGAATAACGTAAAGGAACAATACATCGCACAAGTTTCATTAGAGGAAAAAGGTAACACCTAATTAAATGTAAAAATAAAATAAACCATTTAACAGATGATGGGATAAATTTGTAAATATAACAAAAAAAAAAAAAAAAAAATGTGTAATGATTACGTGCAAAAATATGAATGAATTTACACTTATCACTAAGCGAAAAGCCGGTCTTATATTTGTGATCTCATTTGAGACGGGGGAAAAATAGAGCATTGAGCAATGCCTGTTTAGCTAAGCTAAAATCACAAAAGTGTATATGTATGATCACATATGGACATCATATATATACGACTCTGTAAAAGCTATTTTTTTCCATTACTAAACTGACATAAAAGAATAAAAAATAAAAACAGAATGGAAAGAAACGAAAACAAATATAATCTAATTTGATGTAATTCCTTTTTTTTTTTTTTTTTTTTTTTTTCTTCCCTCTTTTCACTTCCAACTGGCAGAACGCCAATACAAAAAAATACGCAGCGAGATCGTCAAAGACCTCATTAAAGAACGCGAGAAATATATGAACAAACAAAAAGATACATTTCACATTACAAATGGTGATGACAGTGATGACCATTTCAGGGATTCTCAAATGAATAATAATAAATGCATTAATGATGAACACAAAATATTTAAATGTTTGAAAAATATGAATGAATCTACAACAGGATTTGTTAACTCTTATTCCAGATGCTGCAGATACTTAAGAAAATATGAAAACTGTGTACATAAAGTAGGGACATAACGTGGGCACACAAAACAGGAAAATATATTTGTTAATATGTCTCTCTCAATACATTATCGTATGAATCTAGCTTCATTTCCTGAGAACATTCCCCATATAAGCTTCTTTTTGTTTTCTCTATCTCTATCTCTCTCTCGGGGAAGGATCTACACAAATGATTGATGTATCATATTAAATGTGAAAAATGTACATGTAAACATTAGAGTATAGTTTTTTGTTCACACTATTTTGGAGGATATGTTTCATATGAACCACGTCTATTATTACCAATACATACATATATTCAGAACATATTTCTCTAATCTCTAATTGATTATAATCATATGTATCAATTTTACAACAGTACCCTTGTTCTATTATTTTATATTTTTCTACATATAGAATGATAACCCATTTCGATTAGCAACTTAATCATATGTACTTTTCCTCCTTTACCATTTTTTCAATATATCTATGTGATACCACAAGTCGGGTATCTTGTCTGAATGATGAGTAAACCACAATCTACCGGCACACGTCCAGGGAAATATTTTCACACAGCATAATTCTGAAATATATGCAAAATACACCTGATTTATGAGGAAAAAAAAAAAAAAAAATTATAAAATAACATCATAGCAAAAAGTGTGGCAAAAAAAAAAAAAAAACAAACAAACAAAAAACAGAATGATACAAATATCTTTCAAAAAAATGACCATTCAAATGCTAAAATGGTGAATTCGCTCTCCCCAAAGAACTCTTAAAAATAAAAAAAAATAAAAAAATAAAACCTTCCCATCTGAGTCCAATTCACAATTCTTTTAATTGGAATGATTTTTAAGTTGCCCTTTTTTTTTTTTTTTTTTTTATTTTTCGTATTTATTAATAAAGAAAAATCATTAATTTATTATCAAAGGTAACTGCTGTAAAACGTTTACATAAATTTGCCTGACTTGTTCAGGTAAAAACGAGGGGGAAAAAAAGCTGTGAAAACCTACACGCAAGAAAAAAAAAAAAATCCCACAAAAACGACAAAATCATGGAAGACGATTTCAACATAGATGAAAACTACATAAAAGGACTATCGGAAAAGTACCAAAATATTGATCATCCATTATTTATGGATGAATTACCAAAAAATATTGAAGAAAATGAAGATCTACTTGCTTTATACAATTTAATGATCGATGATGAGAACGAATTAAGCTTGGCAAAAAATTTTAAGCAAGTTGGAAACGATTATTATAAGGACGGCTCCAAATATTACGAAGATGCTATCATAAGTTACACAAAGGGAATAGATATACTAATAAATTACATGTCGAATAATAATTCCGATAAACATAAAAACGAAAATATTAAAGCAAAGAGTTGTAATAAAGGCGATCGTGATGATAATCAAAAGGAACATTCATATGAGGAAGCGAAGCGTAAAGTTCAAAGTCTCTCCTCTAACGGGATTGGAAATGATAAATGTATATCAAGTGAACACGTGTCCACAGTGCAGCAAGAAGAATGTGAAATTAAAAAAAATTCATGTATTAACGGAAATAACTTATTCCTAAACGCACAAAATGAATTACAAGAATTAGACGAAAACGAAATAAAAAATTTACTGTCGGATCTTTACTGTAATCGAGCAATTGTGCATTATAAAAAGAAAAGGTACGTAAAATGCTTGTGTGATTGCCGAAAGGCTTATTCTTATAATAAGACAAAATTCAAGAGTATATACTACAGTATTTTATGTTCATACCATTTGGAAATATACAACGATGCGTATATGTATGTTAAAGTGTTTGAGGATTTAACAAAAGAGATAGAGGTAAAAAATTTTATGAATTTGAACGATTATAAAAAAATTAAAAATATAATTTTTGAAAAATATGATAATATTTTAAAAAAAAAAGAGATATATCAAAATGAAAAAAAAAAAGTTGAAGAAAATGAAAAAAATATAATTAATCTTATTGAAGATATATTAAAAAAAAGACACATAAAAATGGTCCAAAATGTTTACAATGAGAATAATAACATTTCCCCTGTATTTTACATAGATAGCTGTATGTACATACATTTTACCGTTTTTTTGTTATATTTCGAGTGGGGAATTATGGAAACCATAATCGACTTTGCAGAAAATAATTCTATCATGGACCATTACGATATAATAAAAAAAAATAAAAAGAACCAAATTCTTTTTTGTTATATAGAATTCCCTGATGATGTTTTTTTCATGATTCATAATTGTTCTTACATATGTGACGTATTGAACAAAATCAAATTATTTTCTCGCATCCTTCCTATACACATTATTGAAAATGAGGAAGCCAACCGACAGTTCAAAAATGATAAAAACATTTCGTTAGTTTCTGTTTAAAGCTCGGAATATGTATGAGCGGTGGGATGGAATTCACAACGTACCTACCTTTAAGGCCTTTTTTTGATTTTTATTTTGCAAGCACTTAAAATGGGTGATGGATATATTATATAACTCATCATCTTCTGTGTGTTATCGAACGCTTATGTCTAACACAAGTTAAAAGTGTATCTTTAAGCGTGAAAATATAACAGTTTCAGCACTTTCAACAGTTTCAACCGTTTCAACACATTTCAATTACTTTTTTTTCCTATTGCTGTTCTAATTCCAGTAAGAATTCAAATTTTCATTCCAGTCTTTGTTTTGTTTATTTTTTTTATTTCCCGACCATATTCCATCCCTTACCGTCTTCATTTCACGTGGAATCACCCCTCCCTCTGCATACAAACACACAAACACAAAAACACATTTGCTTTTTTACAGACATTATATGGAAACACTTTATCAATTCTTATTTTGTAAAAAATAAATCGAAATAGTAGCCTTTTTGCACCTTTGGCGATATTGTCATGCTCATCCACACCCATGGTGCCGTCTTTGTTACATTCAAGCTACATGCATGGTGTTATGTTTGCTCCCGACCGTTGTCATTTTATGCAAAACTGCATAAAACAAATATATATACATATATATATATATATATATATATATATATATATATATATATATATATATATATATATATATATATATATAATTCTTATCAGTTTACGCGATTTTCGACATGCAAAGTTTAACTTTCTTCTGTCCGCCCATCGCTGATAAGTTATTCATCATTTTAAGGATTATATATATATATATAAATACATATATACATAGGTATATAATATATACGTGTGTCATTTATTAAATTGGGGAATTTTTTACTATAGCCGTTTAAAGTGGAATGCATAACTTATTCACATGTTCAATCGAATACAAGGCTCTCCCAAATGCCTATCACGAATGACAATCATGAAAAGTTCAAATTGCATGAGAGTAATATTTGTTCGAGTGGGAGTTATAATATAGCCCCAAGGAAATGAATTTGCATATTTATTCTTATTGAGATACTTTTCCATGGTGTGAAGGAGCTTTTCTCACGATTTGAGAGATGGCATTTTATAGTGAACAAAGGAAATAAAAACGACTTCTTCGTAAAAATGGGAAAACGTTTGAAATTCTTTTTTTGTTGTTTCATTCGCTTTTTCTTGTACTTTTTTGCAAAAATGTTAAAAAAAATGAAGTTTTATTTATATAAATAATCTTTTAAAAAGTATAATAAAATTGGCCCGTAAATTTAAATGGGGAATTTATGAGGCCCCACGTGTTGAATACGAATTATGTATTATTATTTTTTTTTTTTTTTTTTTTTTTTTTTTTTTTTTTTTTTTTTTTTGGCTAGCTGAAAATATAAATTATGGCTATTCACTATTTTTTTGCCATTCGGCTGTTCGAAATTTCCCTGACGGTGGGAATAGTCTTGGCGTTATCTCAAACCCAGGCAAGAGACGATGGTATTTTTTTTTTTTTTTTTTTTTTTTTTTTTTCCTCCTTTTTTCATTACACTTTAAAGAGAAAACATATATATGTTATAGTTATACTTATAGTTACAGTTATAGTTGTAGTTACAGTTATAGTTGTAGTTACAGTTATAGTTGTAGTTACAGTTGTAGTTATAGTTACAGTTATATATACAGTTATAGTTGGGAACTTGCCGATTCTATGTCAACCACTTTTGGTTACCAACAAAAGGAATGAACAACAATATAGGAAGTTATCAAATTTTATGACAATTTGTGAAAATATTTTGAATATCTATAGTTGTTACAAAATTATCCACTTTTTTTCTTTCTTTTTTTTTTTTTTTTTTCTTTCTGTTTTTTTTTATTTAGTGAATAACAAATATTGAGTCTCTCCTCTTTTAATGGATAATAGTTATATCTCCATTTAACACCCCCACCCCAATTTCCGATCGCGTTCCAAAAAACACACTCATGAACAAGTACCTTTTTACTACGTATGAGAGAAAAGCTCTTTGTACATAAGCAGCATTCGGGTGTACATATGTGCATATATATATACAAATACATTCACAAATATGTATAAATATATATATATATACAATAGCTACTTTGCCAAGGGAGACAAAGGACGGTGGTGAAAATGAAGAAGAAACAAAAAATAATACCCCTCCATCACTCATGAAATAAAGTTACTCTATAACAATAAAAAAAAAAAAAAAAAAAAAAAAAAATCTGTACAGTAGCTAGTAACGCGTGCTGAATAAAAAAAACAAACAAATTGTAAAAAAAAAAAAAAAAAAAGAATTAACCCCAAGGAATAAGGGTGTGCTTGTCTTTGTTTGTGTGAAGACTTGGAATCACTTCGAAGTGAATATCATAACTGCTAATACAGACCCAGGAAAAAGTCAAAAATGCAAAAAAGCAAGAGAGTCAACCCCCACAAAAATACATTCATACGTACAAATACGAAACATCTACATTCAAATGCGAAACACATACATTCAAATGCAAAACACATACATACAAATGCGAAACACATACATACAAATGCGAAACACATACATACAAATGCGAAACACATACATACAAATGCGAAACACATGCAAACACAGCTACAAACACACATTCAAAATACATACGCACCACCCGTTTCATTAGGGCCGTTCGGTAGAACAACGAGACATGAGTGTGCCAAGTGATAGGGAAGGAGTATATACATCACTTTCTTTATATTTCATCACAATTTGTAAATTAATAATTTTGTGATGCATAGTTCTTTGCACTATGTTAAGTGTGTCATGCAAGGATTTCACTTTTTCTGAAATAATTTGCAAATCGATAGGGATAGGTAATACGCTTCCATTAATTTGGCCAGTTCCATTTTTATATGTGATTAAAACATTTGAATGTCGGGAAGTAATTTTCTGAATTCTTATATCAAATTCCAGTTGTAGTTGTTTTAATAAATTCACATATTTATTATTAACTTGTTCATACGACGTTATAATTTCATTTCTCACACATCTAAAATAGTCAGCTATTTGTATGTGTATATATCTTTTATTATACTGAATTAGTGTGTATGCTTTTATCAAATATTTTGCACTTAAATTATCGAAATTCTCCTCATTTTTTAACATATTTAGAAACTTTGGGTCGTGGTAATGATATTTTGTTTTCTTTATTGGATATGGTGAATCTATGTTGTTATTTTTCATAGTGCAATTATTAATGCCATTCGATGTGCTGTTTTCTTCGTTCCCCACCAAGTCTGTCATATTTTCCACGTTTCCTACATTTGTCGCAATTCTTTTCTTACTCTTGCAATTTGAGCACGGCTTGTCTATGTAGTACATGCTCTCATGAACCAGCTTGCAATCTCCACTATTTCTTCCACTTTTATCTGAGTCATCCTCTCCTTCTTCTGTGTTTCCTTCACCTGTATCGTTACTTAAAATCATTTCATTGCTTGCGTCATGTCTGTCCTCAATGTTCATAATTTTGCTGCTGTAATCGCCCCCCATGCTCTTATTATCCTCTCTATACATTTGATACTTTCCTATTGAAGTTTTTTCTCCCCCAGGACTCGTAATTACCTGAACAAACGTCCTATTTTCCACTTGTTCGTCTCGTTCCTTTGTATTACAATTTGCATTCACAGCTTCCTCATGATTTCCAATCCAATCTATATTGTTCCTTTCTGTGTTATCTGCTACACTCGTTATTTTGTGATTGTTAGCATTTCTCCGTTCTCGTTTTACTTTCAACCTCTTAGAGACGCGACGTATGTAACCTTGTGTGACATTCGACCGTTCCCCTTCTGTGTGCATACTAACATTACATATGATGTCCTCAGCATGTGCTGCCACGTCTTCCATGTGTGGCTTACTTAAGCTTTGTATGTATTCATCAATTATTTTCTGTTTCTCGTCATGGTTAAGTAATTTCTTAACAATTTCAGCGGATGATTTTTTTTGCTTCATACAAACATTCTTACTTGCACTTTTACAAAGATCATCGACTGGTTGCATTGGGGAAGCGTCATTAGCGCGAGCTTTTTTCTGCTCCACATTTTCATGAGGGCCATTTTCATGAAGCACATTTTCAAACTTGGTTGTTTCTACATTGTTAACAACATGTGATTGTTTACTTTTTTTATTCTTATGTTGTGGAACGTAACCATGGATGTAGCTACTTTGAGAAAAATAGTTACCCACTACTTCATCGTTTGTTTTTTTTTTCTCCTCATGCTGCTGTTCCTGCTCCCCTTGTTCTTCTTTACTGACTTCCGATTTTGTGACAACCTGAGAGAGTAATAACAGATTGACCTCTTTTCCTGAAGGAAAATTCGTACCTATCCTTTTGTGAACATTCTTAATTTCATTTTTATTTCCCATATTTGCATCTCCAAATCCATCGTTTTCGTTCTTTTCTAAAATTCTTACTTGTTCATACGTTTTCTTGTCAACAGATTGGTTCAACAGATAAAGCAATTGGGCCTCATGACCAGTGGGTTGTGTTATTTTTTCATTAGATTCGAATACATCTATTTCCATATCATTATTCGCTAGTTCATCTGTTTCCCGTAGATTTTTCTTATTCTCTATTGATTTAATGGAGAATGGCATATCCTGAAACAATTCATCCTTTTCAACAATAGTAGTAGTCATTTCACCATATGTTAACACATGTGCCTCACTGCTTCTATCATCTGCATGCACCAAGTCCTTTGTCGATACATAACTTACTTTGGCCCTCATTCCTCCCCTAGATTCTTTTGTATCTCTTCCATCTGCATCATCCATTCCATTGGTAGTGCTTACAAATTGTACTGCATCTGACATACTGTCCTTTTTATCCTGATCAATTATGTGCTGCTTCCACACTGTGCTCATCTCTTGGTCAAATATTTCAACCTGTACGGGTTGGCATTTCTCTACATTTTCCTGATCAACCAGAATGTTCTTACATTCTTGATCAGCCAAATCATAGCTCCTGTCATTTGTATTGTTTTCCTCATCATTTTCGTCGTCTTTTTTCTGGTCCTTTTTGTCGTCTTTTTTCTGGTCCTTTTTGTCGTCTATTTTCTGGTCCTTTTCCTCATCCATTTCCTCATCATTCTCCACATCGTGCTCATTTCTTCCCACCTCATTCAAAGACTCTTCCAGCAACAATGTCTTCGTTCCCATAGGAGTGCGATCATCCATAAGATATATCTCTTTCATTGTTGCAAAACTTACTTTCCTGCGCTCTGATTTTTCTTCACCTTTATTTTCATCCTCTTGATTATCACAATTTATAATATTCTCCCAATTTCCAGGATTCTGACATTTTTTTCCATCATTGACTACGCTTCTGAATTTATTAACGTGAGAATCTCCTTCCCGCAAGTACAAATCCTCTGATTCATCTATTGCTTCATCATTATTGTTAAATTCAGAACTTTCAATAGATATTACCTCTTCTATAACATCGAACATTTTGTCTTTAACAGATTCTGAAGGAAATTTTATGCATATTTCTATTTGATCCAAGAGATGACCATCGAATTGCGTCCTTAGCTTGTTCGAGAGCACACCTGTAAAAAAAAAAAAAAAAAAAAAAAAAAAAAAAAAAAATTCAATAAAATTTAAGAGGAGATGATATTTAGCACACTTTTTGGATGTCGAATTATGCAGAAGGGGTATTCGGGTTGTGGTTGTGGTGGAATGTACGCTGGATAAATTTATTGCAATGAGAACAGACGCCACTTCAAATCCATCTTTTGTATGTCTACGCATAGGTGTGCATATATGCAGACATGTATATTTATATTTGTTCCCCACGCCCATGTTTGTATTTTTTTTTTTTTTTTTTTTTTTTTTTTTGGCTAGCTAAGCCTCACCTAGGGCATCACGCTGAGAACAGCAAAAAATGAGCATCTTTGTATCTGAGTCTTTACACATTTTGACCCGATCGTAAGAAAGTACTATGAGCAACTTATTCTGAGTATTATAAAAGTAAGCATAGAAAAAATTCAGGAGAAGAGATCCTTTGTATCCATTAGATGACAAAACAATTTTATCGTTCGGAGGCATGGAATCATCATTCTGATGAGCATGGGTACGAAATGTGTTAATGTAGAGATGACTATCAGAAACATAGATGTAAGAACAATTTCGAAGGTAGCTTATATTTATATCGTTTTCCTTAGTTATCGCTAAGTAATTATTTTTTTTTTTTTTATTTAGAAAATTGATTAAGCTATTTAGAGATGGGAAGTGTATTCTGTTTTTATCTGATATACACATATGTAAGCATCTGCAAAGAGATAGAATTTTTTTTTTAATTTCAACATGTGGTATATGTTCATAAGTGTCTACAATCAGATTCACATAATCAATTATAGGAGATACATCAGAAATGTGACAAATTTCTTGAAAAATTTTTAACACCAAATCGAATGCTACTTCGATAATTTTGATTCTAGAACAACCAATCTGTATATATTTATTATTATGTAAATTTATTTTTTCTTTTAATTTTTCTAAAATGTTATTCAAAAGAGACAAATGGTATGATATTAGATGTAACATGCAGGTGTAAAATGTACATAAATTTGTTTTATAACTTTTCCATATGTTCGTTAAATTTCTCAAATTATTATCTAATTCGATGATAAAAGATAGAAATGCTCTTTGAAATAATAAAAATTTATCATTCACAAAATTTTTCTCATTCAAACATATTTTAACTATTATATTTATATTCTCAAAAAATGACTCATTTATTTCTTCTCTCATATTTCTGCATTTATTTATGCTATATCGAATGAAATGCATACATTCATTTCCTAACATAACCAAATTACTATTTAGTGAATTTATACATATATGTATAACCCTATTTATCACTTTATAGTTAAAACTAAAATTAGATTCAATATCAATTTCTATTAAATCATGTAAAAACAGTGATAGTGATATCTCTCCTTCTTCTTCGGCAGCATTCAACTCTTGGATTACGTTATTATTATATTCTTCTATGTCTACATCATTCATTTTGACAAATCACCGTTATTTCCCTATGATTATCACGCACAAAAGTAGAAAAAAAATTCTTCTTCTGATTATAAGTCGATATCTCTAAAGTTGTATACCTTTATATGAAATAAAAAAAAAAAAAAAAAAAAAAAAAAAACTTCAAACTGGAGTAGACAATGGAAGGACCTACCTTCCTCAAACATACGCAGGGGTTGTACAACACAACATGAAAAATGTGCAATAAGTATTATGTGTATGTGTGTGTGTGTGTGTGTGTGTGTGTATATATATATAATAAAGGGCTGTGCTGTCATGCACTATGCATATACATGTTTGTTTCGCCTTCCTGCTATAAGACAAATCTATGACAACACGTGACATATCTAAGCTGTGAAGGTGAAGGTGAAAATGAACGTGTGCGAAAGAAATATGTCAAGTCTTGGAAGAAAGTTTGCAAAAAAAAAGAAAAAAAAAAAAAAAAGACATACTCAATTGAAAAGTACGACATGCATTGTTTTATGCAATATACAAAATTTGAAATGAAAAAACAATACAAAAGAGTTTTGAAGAATTAAAAATAATTACAAAATAATTACAAATGAATTTCAAAAGGATTTCCAAAGAACTTCAAAAGGATTTCATCGTGTATGCATTTGTGAAGAACGAATAGTTAAGGAATTTACGTGGGATACATGCAGATACTTGTGTATGTTTACAAAAAAGAGTATTACATGCACTTTCAAATAATTTCGTAATATATGTACTGTTTTTTTTTTTTTTTTTTTTTTTTTTTCAGGGAGCATACTCAAATTGGACAGCTTCAATTGCAAAAGATCAAGGTTTATATATGCACATTAAAATTATTAGCACTACATTAGTGCCTTTTTCATTTTATTTTTTTGCAAAATGGAATAATGTTTCAAAGTCTTTTTTTTTTTTTTTTTTTTTTTTTTTCTAATTTAAAGAATGTAAAAAGCTGTAAAATAGAAAATAATGTGTCTTCTTATCTTGAGTAGGCAAAAAAAAAAAAAAAAAAAAAAAAAAAAGACTATGAAACATTATTCCATTTTGCAAAAAAATAAAATAAAATTAACAACTCAGTTTTAATCTTTCCCCTCTTATGCATCCTTTTCTTTATTTCTATCTTATGTGTGTGCAACAATGATGTTTAAAATTTTTACACCATTCGAATGAAATAATGAAAGGGAGACCATAAGTATATTGATCGTATGTGTAATGATCATATATATTTTTTGAGTAGATTATGTATTATTTATTATTTTTCTTTTTTTCTCTCGTTTAAACATTTACTACGTATTAACCAATTTAAGGCTTAAACGTTTCTTCGTTAACTTCTACCAATTCGTGTAAATAAGGCCATTAAATGTGGTGAAAAAAATAAAAATAAATCAAAAATAATAAATATCTTTTTCCCATTAACGCATACATGTAAGTGCCCATTTGTAAGGGCCACACTTGTTCGTTATTCTTTCTTACGTGGAATGTGCATTGATTCTACCGATGTTGCTGATGGTAGTGATGGAATTACCTAATTGTTCATGTTCCCTCGCCACATGTAACGATTTGTCTACTAAACTATATTAAACCATAATTAACTCTTCTTTTTTTTCTTTTTTTTTTCATGTTCACTGTACAAATTTCTCTCTTTAACTGCCCTAATGTAGGATTGAATAATTGTAGCTGCTTCGTTACTTTCATTTTCTCGTTTCATAATAATGTTACGTCTTTTGTCTGCTAATTCTTTTAAAAAGCTCTTCTCCTCCATTTCTGCTTTTTTTTTTAGCATAGTGGCATCTAGGTTTTTATCGATAATTTTATTTTCATTTACTTTGTTTTTCCAGATTTTGATTTCTGTAAAAAAAAAAAAAAAAAAAAAAAAAACATATAAAATGACAGTGATCGACATTTTGTATCTTTTCATCAAATGAAACTGAAAAGGAGGAAATTCATTCCAGATCAGCTAATATAGCAAAAAAATGTTACTACTACTACTACTAAAAAAAAAAAAAAATTGTTATCTTTCTCATTATTACAACAATGGAAAAAGATAATATGAACCTTACCTTCGTCAATCTCTTTAATCTCTGCATCGATTGAATCTACATAATTCTGAATATCCATCTCGATCAGTTTATTCTTTTTAACCATACTAACTTCCAGATCTTGAAAAGTTCTAATTTGGTTTTCATACAAATGTTTCGTTTTTTCGAATAAAGAATTTAAATTTTCTAATTCTTCTGGAAGTTTATTTAAAGGCATTTCGTTCAGCAACTTTTTTATGTTATCTTTAGAAGATTTTTTTAACTTGTTCAATTCATTTTCTTTAGTAATTAAAATGAGTTGTAAATCTTTTATTTCTTCATGACTTTTTTTTCTAACAATTTCTAATTCGTTATTTAATTTCTTTTCTTCATTTTGAATATTTTGTTCTTCTTCCTTTAATTCTTCTAAATTTTTAGCACGCTTTTTCTTTTCATCAGCTGTCGTTTGGAATTTCAACAAAAACATGTCCTACACCCCATGTGGTGAGCATGATAGCAAAAGTAAGAAAAAAAAAAAAAAAGACAGTATTATAAATATGCAATAAGATGAATAGGATAAAAAAAGAAGAAGAATTCACTTCACATATGTAGGCATGGGAAAAAAAAAAAAAAAAAAAAAAAAAAAAAAAAAACATGGTTTTACGACTAATTGTACATTCTTATCGTTGCGCACTACCTTGAAGCATCAGACTCGTTCTCTTGTCTTACCTTCAAATCTTTCACTATGTGGAGAAACTTGTAAAAATCGTGATTCTCCTTATCATTTAGCAAATTTAAAATTTTACATAAATCAGTATTTTCTTTAAAAGTTTTACATAAACAAAAACAATATTTTTTAATTCTATCTATTAAATCTTGGTGTTCTATAAGAACATCAAGTTCATCATTTTCGTCTTCTTCACTTTCGCGTCCTCCATTTTTACGTTCATTCTTTTCTTGCGAAGATTCGTCTCCTACTTCTTCACACTTTAGCACTTCTGTATGTTCATATAATTTGTTTAGCTTTATTATATCCTTAAAATATGTAAAAAACTCTTCAGGTACACTACATAATTCTTTTTCGTTAAGTTTTTCTAACACCTGCGTAGTGTTCAAAAAGAAAAAAAATATTTCAGAATGAATGTAGAAAAATATGATACTACCACCCAGTGAGGTTTATTTATTTTTTTTTTTTTTTTTACTTAACGAGATTTCTCAAATATGATAAATCCAAATTATTTAATACACACTTTCCTCATCTTCATACCTCCTCATTTATGTAAGACAGATTTATTATTTTCCTTTCAAACATTTCAATTACATTGAACAGGCTTTTCGCCTCCACATCGATAAACTTGTCACCCATACTTTTTTTCTTTTTCTTTTACATCTAATGCTTCTTAAATTAATATTTTCACCGCACCCATCACCAAAAAAAAAAAAAAAAAAAAAAAAGAGAATAACAAACTAAGAAAAAAAAAAAAAAAGTTTTCAAATTATCTCCTCATATAACTTAAAAATAATGTAAACCAATTTTATAAAAACAAAATCAAGTGTTAAATATAACACCCGACTTTGTAAATTATAACAAAAATGTTTTCTGTACGTGTAAAACATATCAAAAACTCATAGTAGAAATAGCGTGTTCTACATATACCCTCATAAGTAAAGAACACGTGTTTCAATACCTTTGGAGATTAATGAAACGTCCAAATGAACATTAGACTCACTTCTTTTAGACAAAAAAGTATTGATAATAATTTTAAAATGGCCAGCATATCAAATTGTTTACAAGTTATCAAAAAAATAAAAAAAATTAAATAAAATAATGAAAAAAAATGACGAAAAAATATGCGTATCTCATATAAGAGCACACTTATATGTAGGAGTAATATAAATGCAAATGACATATGGTGCAAATATAAAAAAGGTTAAAAAAATATGCCACTTAAAAACGTATAATCCTTCATATCACCCCACCCTTTTCTAAAAATAAAATTCCAATTTACAAAACACGATAAATGTAATGTCTTTCTCCAAATGGATTTTATATATTCGACGTGTACATCACATATAATAATACTTTTTTTTTCCTTTAATTCTTATCATTTACATATGCGGGATACTGAAATATAGGAGGAAAAAAAAAAAAAAAAAAAAAAATTAATACATTTGTCTCGTGATTAATATACTTCTTCAAACTTCGCTAATTGACGATGTATTCACACGAAATCATCTATCAATCCATCTCCGTTTGATTCAATAAATATAACATTGTATGTGATTACAATCGTGATTATATTTAATATCAAATGTCTAAATATGTCCCCATTCCCCCCCCAAAAAAAAATAATATAATAACAAAATAGTAACAATGTCGCAATAAAACAGTGACTAAATAGTAACAAAATTAAGTATCTACACATTACACTTCTTGGAGTAAAAGATAAAATAAAAAAGTCCAACAGGAAAACAAACGAACAGACAGTAGCAATTTCAAATAATGATACGATCATCATTGGTTCACACTCCTCAATAATATTACAATAGCATATTCCAAATTTGACGATGTCTCGTCTATAAGGACACATTCCCTAGAGTATGCATACTCTTCTACTGAGACTATTAAAGCGATGCGTGGCATAAATACATCGACAAAAATAGGACAGTACAGGGAATATAGTGTATGTAAAAATATTAAATCAGATGGGCAAGTTATCTTCAATTATTTATCAGAAGCAGAACTGTTTTGTTTTCATCATATTAATATTTTTATTCTATATACCACCACACACACACATAAAAACTAGCCTCCTCTCCACACACATAAAAACACACATGTGTGTAACATGACATATAGTTTTCTTATAATAAAAAGTACTCTCTCTCCTTTCCTGAATACTTTTCATTACTAACCTTGTAATAGATAAAAATCTTAAGTTAAATATTCCTTTCCTTGTTATGATAAAAAGGCCCTGAAAAAGTGTGTACTTTTTTCTTCATAGTCTCAAATAGGGTATAAAAAACATTAATCTCTCCCTATTTACTAACACAAAAAGCTACTTTTTTCAGAGTTACAAAACTTCCTTACGACAACCTCTATTCCCCTCAAAAAAAAAAAAATCATTATAACGAAAAACAAAAAAAAGTAATAAAAAAAAAAGATTTTAATAGAAAATAAAATGTGGCACATATATAGTAACTTTCATCCTCTTAAATTTTCTTCTTCAAAGTGATCATTCGCAAAGGCATGTTGTTGTTAACTTATAATTCTTTATTTTACACAATTTGTTCATTTCCATGTGCTGCTAAGTATTTTATTTCTGCGGATGATATAAAAATGGTACGAAAAAAAAAAAAAAAAAGAAATAAAAAAGTTTCTCAAATTGGAAAAATAACATACATATATATATACATGTTCACGTTCATGCTAACGTTTTATAATAGACTTATAGGTAAGAAAAATATCTTCATGTAAAAAAAAAAAAAAAAAAAAAAAAAAAAAGTAGCATAATATTGCTCACACATCTATTCTTTCAATCTTTCTCAATTCTTACTTTTAATAAGAGAAGTGGAAGAATACATGTTCTTCAATATTTCGTTCGAAATCTTGGGATGATTTTTTTTTATAACCAGGCATCGTAGTTTCTCAATTTGCTCATCATCTATCAGACCTATTCAAAACAAAAGGAAACAAAAACATATCTCGTGCTTGTGTACATAAAAAAACATAAACCATATAACTTATACACATTGCTTTGTTTTCATGAACAGGTGTGGCATATATTATTATATATAAGCAATTTCCCTCAAACATATAAAATTCATTTTCAATGATAGACAAAACATATAATTTATACATGTATGAAAAATCAAATGGTGGATTTATTTTTATTTATTTATTTTTTTTTTTTTTTCCATGTCAGATAGGGATAACTGGTTACAAAAATTATCTTCAAAAAATAATTTTTTCAGATGCCAAGCGTATGCTTTCATCATGTAGAAAAAAAAAAAAAATATATAAAAATAATTAACGTTCCTTCAATTGACGTTTCACTTTTTTTTTTTTTTTTTTTTTTTTCTCCTTTTCATGTACATAAAACAAATATGCACTAGGAAGCAAAAAGCTTCTTAAATTATAGAATCACTCTCCAGATTTGATGGATATTACAGTGTGTAAACATATTAAAAACACAACTACAACTGTGCGAATAATAATACTTGGGATTCATAACATACCTCTATAATTCTGAACAAGTAATAGCAATGAAGTATGCCAATTTACGGTTAAAATTTCGGAATAATTTATGAATGTGACAAAATAGTCAACACACTTTTCAATAAACTGCAATGGGGAAAAAGAAGAAAGATATAAAAGTGTATACGTGTATTCAAACTTGGGTGATAGAATAAGTATAACAATAAAAAATTAAAGAATCATGCACATGGCCTATATTTACACACACACATGTCATATATATATACATAATCTCAAATGAACATAATATACAAATAAATGCAGAAACATATCCTATGTTTTATTGTCAATATATAGGGATAAGCTTTTCTTATCCTCATATATTTCAAGTTCATATCTATATATTTCATTTCACTTCTCAGCTTTCCTTTTCATACACACACCACTTACTTCTTTCGAAAAACCATACTTTTTGTTAAAAAAAAGGCATAAAAAATGGGAAACATTAGAATTCCATGGAAACGTAAAAATTTCATTCAAACAATGAGTCACTACATTTATTGATATGCTCATTTTCTGAATAACACTTCCGAATATAACTAATTCCTTTTTGGTGCATTCCTAACATATTCAAAAAAATAAAGTAAAAACAAAAAAAAAAAAATTATTTTTTTAATTTTTATCACATGAATTGCATTTTGTGGTTTGCAACATTGATTCATGTGCAATATGGTTACACATATAAGCATGCACGAAAACAATAATAATAAAAAATAACGCTAAGCAAATTTCGCAAGTTTTTACAACTTAGGCTTGCACAGGAGCCGATAATACACGAACTCGACACAATATATATATATTTCGTTTTAATCAGTTTGGGGCAGTACTATTGTCTTCATTATTTGTAATTTAGACAAAACTAATCATCATGTTAAAACAAATCGTTTCGCAATTATTTAGAGAGTAAAGCTACATTTGTTGCACATATATATATATATATACGTACACTGTTGCTTTTCACGTGAAGATCAATACAACTTTAATTTAATGCACAAATGGACATCTAAGCGCAAATGTAAATAATTATTGCATATGTACTACACTACTCATGTATACATAACATATATATATGCCACGGAGCCATGTGTACACAAAAGACAGCTCTGCTTTCTCTTATTCTTACACGACGTAATAGGGGGTACAGTATTCCTTTTAGCCAAGCTTTGGATTTGTATAAGGATTTTATTAACGTTTTATAAAGAAACGATTCTAGTTTTTTGTTTTTCTCGATATTTTCTAATATGATTGGTAACAAAATAAATTCATAGTATACACAAACTTCCTTTTCCTTCAATCCTGAAGAAAAAAGTTTCGTTACTTCAAAAGTTGCTTGGGTGGTCCACCTTTTGGGCTTGGTTAATAAAAGCAAATCGAACCATCTTGGTGATTTAACCAAAACGGTTAATGCTCTATGTAACTTCCCCTTTTTATAATGGGCCAATTCTTCCCCTATTGTTTCATAGCATTTTTGGACTAGTGCATTTAGCTTTTCCTTCAATAGGTAAAAAGGGGGGGGGGGGGGGGAACAAAACAAAATGAGATAAAAAAAATAAAAAAAATTAAAATAATGTGATACAAACATTGATGGATAGGGAATAAAAGTATACACAATATTAGTGTCGTGATGAGAACCAATCTTGCCCTTGGATCACAATCACAAACAAAAGCAGAGAAACAAGTTTTTTTGTTCACAAAATTGTACTGCATAAACTCTTCAAATATTAAAAGACGTTTACGCCCTGATATTTGTGTCGCATTTATTTTCAGCAATTTTATTTTTACTTTTTTTTTTTTTTTTATTATGCGTGCGGATAGCAAAAAAAAAAAAAAAAAAAAAAAAAAAAAAAAAAAAAAAGTATAATATCTATTAGTACCGCAAGCAAAAATGTGCAGAAACACGAAAATGCAATTGGTACTTATTTATTACAAAAATAAAATTGCTTTTAAAAAATAGGAAAACCAAAATGAGGTTTCCTTCTTTTGTGCATTTTTTTTTTTTACAGCACTGCCTAATGTGAATAGTCATTTATGTTTCTTTTTTTTTCTTCTTCTACGTAATGGTGAAGAAATGTTATTACCTCTTCATTTGTCTGAGTAGTGGTATCCTTCCCCTTATCCAATTGATTATTTTTTTCAAATGCGTGGTGATTTATGTTTACTTCCAAATCTTTTAATATATTACTCGATTCATCAATCTGCTCGTGATGATCATAAAAAGTGTTTGTGCTAGGTATATTTTTGTTATCCATTAAATTTTCAAAATTTGATATATCTTCCTCCTCGATGTCATCATCAAACAGTAGGAACTTATCCACCTGCTGTGAATTAGCATCATCACCATTTAGACTATCTCCCTCGTCTGAATAATAATCCTCCTCATTTTGTTTATTCACTAAATTCAAAATTTTCTGAACATCGTCTTTTCTTTTTTTTTTTGTTTTTATTTCATTTATTTTATTACCCTTCCTTTTTTTTTTTAAAATTTTATTTTTCGTTACTACACTATTTTTTAAATTTTCTTCAAGCGTTTCCGTATGCTTGAATCTTTTTTTTATTTTTGCCTTCTTCATTGGTATTAGCCGATGCGCATGAGAAACACCGTGAAGAGCAGAAAACGTATTCTAGTATATATATGTTACTTATTGACTTACGTACATATATATGCATATATATATATACGTGTACTGGTTTATACACACACACGTAAATACACAGAAACCACAAAATTTTAAAGCTCTAAAAAACCTTATTCGGTGTATATAATTAAGAATGACAAAAATACAAGCGGGGGGAGGCGTGGTGGGTGGTGAGGGTAAGGAAAAAATTCTACATTTTACAAACTGAGATAATTTTACAAATGTAAAAAAAAAAGTAAAAAATACAATAAAATTAAATTCATGAAAATATGCTACTACGACACGACACACTTTTATCCCATTTACATTTAGTATGTATTAACAAGAACTATACAAAAATTAAAATTACAAATATAATGTCGTAGTAGTTATATACCTATATATATGTGTATTGTATATTCTCTGCAAGTTCATTCTTCATTATAATGATAAACATTTAACATTAAGGGAATATGTAACAAATAACAGATAAAACCCTGCACACAAGTTAATATATATTGTGTTGTAAGTACATTTGTATATATATTCATTTTAAAGCACAAATGAAATACCCTCACATCATTATGAAAAAAAAGAAAAAAAAATCTACACTTCACAGCTCGGATTACTGGTGAAAAGCAGTAGCGGTAAAAAAGGGAAAAATCACACAAATATAAGAAAGTATGCATTTATTTATATATAAGTGTCAAACATATATATGTTTTGTATGTAAAAGTAAAATAAGCTTGTTACTAACACCCTCCTTTTTGTTACATACTGATTTCCTGCTAAATGAAAAAAAAGTTAAAAGAAAAAATGTAACTTCAAAACATGAAAGTATTATACAAACTATAAAAATATACATAATAAAAAAGAAAAAAAAATTTAATCGTTATTCTTACAAAAAAAAAAAGAAAAATTAAAAATTATGCAGACCATAAATATTTTACAAAAAAAAAAATATATATAAAATAAAAAGAAAGTGCTTAGCATAATTATTATTTTAAAAATAAAATTTAATTGTTTTTAAAAAAAATTATATTATTTTCTTTCTATTTTAAGTGGATTTTTTTTTAAATTCGGCTTGAATTTTTTTTTTTTTTTTTCCTGAATAGCTTCTTTTGTTATATGAACAATTTTTTTTTTTTTTTTTTTTTTTACTACCACTATGGCTAGCTGAAAAAAAAAATTAAATAAAAGAATAGTTATACAAGTGGTCTGATTTGTTTATAAAATTTCCATCAAAATTTAATGATTCGACGAGTTGTAATAATGGCTAGCTGGAAACAGATATTGTATGATATATTACATGGGAAGAAAAAAGTTGACTGTTGTCATTCTACAAAACATTATTAACAACCTATGTTCCCAAATTCTTGTTCCACTTATGGAGACGCATAAATGTCATATTGCTAGTTCATGTATTTTCCCACTTGTTATTTGTGTGAAATTTAATACATTTACTTTTGGGGGGGTCGTAACTTACACATGTATCACATTTTAAAAACTTCGACATGTAAAATGGTGTAGAGAGATATATAATCTGGGTTGCATATTACATTCATTTGAACAACCAAAACTGAATGAATCCGCCAATTGGTTAATGCAATGGCAAAAGAGTAAAATCAAATTAGTGAAAAAAAAAAAGAAAAAGAAATGCACATAAATGAAAAAATTAAACATAATAAGAGTAAAGAGCTTATGCAGTATCTTTAAAACTTGTTTATAGATTATATGTTTGACCTTAGAGTGATGAACATTTTTAAATGTGCTTAATGCCTTTCCCCTTCATGAGAATACATTAAGATAGGTGCCACCTACTTATTTGTATTTTCAGGTGACAGACAATTGGTAGTATTACCACTTTTTTGTTATGCTTAAAACTGTTACTTTTACATGTATAAAAAACTTTAAAGGTATCCTTTAAATATGAATTTATTTTATTTTTTTATCTATTTTTTATACACCATGTAAAATTTGTTATTTTACTTTTTAATTCCTTCCATCATTTCAATAATGATGTCGTATAAGAAATGGTAGAAATATGGTAGTTCGAATTAGTATGCGCAGCAAGCACATTTGTAAACAGAAAAAATTATGAGCCCATGTATCACAGTTTTATGTTTTACGTTTTACATTTTACATTCTTTCCTGAATGCACGTACTATTTGAGTATCTTATTAATTTTATTTTCTCAGACTGTGTAAAATATCATCAACTACATTTTATATTCAGACATATGCTTGTCAATAATATGAAAGATCATCATGGAAAATAAAATTAATGGCTTGACTTAGTGTCATGGGAAAATTATTCTTTTCGTTTAACAATGCAACTAAGGGAAATATTTCTGTCGGGAACTTGTGCCTCAAACAATTGGGTTAAAAATGTATATATATGTATATATATACACACATATATAGAAAACTTAAAATGCAGCGACGCCCACGTTCTGTTTACATAATGTTATGACCATTTTCTTATATGAGCGCATGCGCATAAAGATCATAAGTAAGGAGGGGCATATATCCACAAGGTACTTGCGAACGTTTTAATTTTGTGTGCATCTTTGAATATGCCCACAAATGATGGGTGATATTCCATTTTTCCCAATACGATGATGCATGAAAGTAAAATGAGAATAATCTCGAAAGGATATATTCAAAAGGAGGGAAATTACCGAGCTCATACCACATTTCTGCGTATTCATGGATTTAGTTCTTCAAATACTCAGACGCATATGTGTACATCAAACTCCGTAAACAATAAACGCGCACAAGCATAATTTTCCATTCATAAGTATCATATTCTTATAAAAAAAAAGCAAGAACACAGTTTTGCAAAAGAAAAATGATTTAAGCATATTCAGCAGAATAAACTGCTAAAACTTCTTTTAACATGTGAAAAACATTTTCCACTTATTTTAAAAGATTTATGAAATGGTTTCAAAAAAAAAATAATAAGATAAAAAAAAATAAAATAAAAAAATAAATAATTAATTAATTATAATCATTTACCCACTTGTTAAAAAAATATATTTAAAAAAAAAAGTTGCGTTACCAAAATGCTAAGAAAAAAAGCTTAAAAAAAAAAAACTTGTGCTAGCGATGAAAAGGTAAATTTTTTTATTTTATTACTTGGCTTGGTGAACTTTTTTTTTTTTTTCATAACCAAATGAGGAGAGGGATTAACTTTAACTGACAACTGATGACACCGAGAAGGTGGAAGAAGTGAGGCTGGAACGAGTTGTATGGGTGGGAATGATTTTTAGAAGGTGGTAGTTTAAGCATTGCAAGCTTATGTTATCAAGTTGTGGCCAATTTTTAATAAAATATTGCACTAACTTCAATTCTGTATACATCCTCACAACATTTGGTGACGGAACAATATTACATGGTCGATTGATATATGCTTTCTGCATTTGAAATTGGCATTTCGCAATTTGAAAGCATATATTTCATGATGCCCCGATATGCGTATATTTTATAGGCCCTTATAAATATGCTCATTACATTTAGGTTAATAAATACTTGCTGGAATACATGGATTGTGCATTAACAGTTGCTCCTTCCTCCCATTGAGGCAATTTCTTTTTATTCTCAATCGCTCCAGCACAGTTCCGAAGATTGTTACTCCTTCCCCCTTGTAATTTTAATTTTTCATTCTTCATTTTTTCGTTTTTAGCTTGAAGAAGGAACAACAGAGAAGTATATAATAATATGTGTATACCATTATATAATATTACATATATAAGGCACACAGCAAAGAAACCCATCAGGAATGGCACCATTTTTTCATATATTTTTATTTCCTCCACTCCATTTTTACAAACACTGAAAACACAAAAATTGAAGTGCAATTTAAATTGAAATTAAATTGTATATATGAATATAGAAAATTTATAACAGAAAAAAGGGAAAAAAAAAAAAAAAAAAAAAAAAAAAAAGCTAATGATGATACCTACCGATGAATAAAACGAATTAGTTACATAATAAAGATAAAAAAAGAAATTGAAGTTTAAGATATTCTTAATAGATATTCATTCATTTTAACCTAAAGTTTTTTTTAAAGTTCAACATATATTTAAAATTCTGTTTTGAATAAATCTCCAATTTTTTTTTTTTTTTTTTTTTTTTTGCTTTCACAAAATGGGAAGGAAATCAACGATAAAACCAGCTTCTGGAATAGCAGGTAAAATTTATAACACTAGCAATGTCAGCTGGCGAGTATATATGTACACATATATAAATACATATATGTTACATTTATGTACATATGACAAAAATTAAGAGTTGCCTGGGCATGAAGAACGTAATGAAAGCATGGGAACATACGTATTTTCACATACACTTATAATATCATATAAGTATGGCTGTGAAGAGAGACATGTACATATACTCGGACGCATGCTGATCTAACAATCACTTGTGTTTCACTTATCAAGTGAAGGAATATACAAAAAAAATTTACGAAAATATTATATACTAAAGAAAATATTCCATATGTTATATGCTCAAGAATTGGAGTCATGAGAGCTGATAAATGTTGTGCACATTATTACAATTACGCATTTATAAGCGTATTTACAGACATGTTTTTTTTTCCTATTCATATGTATAACTGTTTTTTTTTCTTTTTTTTTCCTGCATTTTTTCTCCCCCACCCAAAGTCGGTTTCAACAGCGGACATATCGTGAGCAAAAGGAACTTGAAAGGAAGCATCAAGAAAAAACCAAAATCCAAAAGAAAAGAATTAATAAATGACGTTGTTAGAGAAATAACAGGATTTAGCCCCTATGAAAAAAGACTAATCGAATTGATCAAAGTAGGAACGTCTGCTGCAACTAAGAGAAGTTTAAAATATGCCAAGAAAAAATTAGGTACTCATAAAAGGGGTAAGGCGAAAAGAGAAGAAATACAAAAAATAGTCATTATGCAAAGAAGAAAGGGTGCAACTGAGAAGCACTAGAACATATGAAAAGAAAGGAAAAAAAAAAAAAAAAAAAAGCATCAACATGCTTTCCCTTCCCTGTTTATGCTACTTATCAGTTATCTATTATTATTTAACCGTTTATTAATCTATCTTATTTTATCGTATCCAAATGTCATACTTTTTTATGCCTTCCCCCTCTATACGCCATTCTGTTATATAAAGAAAAAGCACCTGTATACATAAATATATATATATATACATTAACGTTCACGCGATTATGTATGTAACATTTAATCTTTTCCCCAAATTTTCTTACCTAATTATGAACTTCCCGTAAACAATATCGGCATAAAGCATAACACATAGGTTTCTGAATTACTTTCTGCCTATTTTTTTTTTTTTTTTTTTTTTTTGGGAAAATATGAATTTTTACACACACGAATGTGTCAGCATTTCGTTGTATAGCTTTGAATAACTGAAAGAAAATTTTAATACGGAAAAAATAAAAAAAAAAAAAATCGAAAAATGGGAAAGCAGATAAATGGCAAGGTCGCTATGTGAAAATAGCCAAAATAGAGATTAGTGAGCGCGTAATGGCAAATAAAAAATTGCTAAGCTTTAAATAACCAGAAGCAGCAAAAACCCACCTACTCTCTCAACATTCCATACCCATTTGAAGTAGCGTATCGCCATGACACTCTATTTCATTGCGTAAAAAAAATATGTACATAAAACTTCTCCTACCATGAGATAACGCATAATTTATCACACTTTTTGTGTTTGAGCAACTACTTCCATTTTCATTTAAAGCTCACTGCTGTCACAAAAATGAAAAAGTTTCTTTGGGAAAATGGCGTGGTAAGTAATGAAAAAGAGTGAAATCATATAAAATCGAGTACATTTTTCATATATTTGTATGTATATGTATATATATATTGGGACCTATCTGTTTCGACTTCATTTCTACGCTAACTTAACCAAATTGCTCCACATCTTTTGTTTCCACCACTACGTGAGCCAAAAATTTTACTGATGCAATTATATTATGCACGCCTTTTTTACCAGATGTCATACTTGTTAAAGTGATTTACACACGGAGCAATTGTTCATTTGTAACACGAACATCGATTAGTTCTTCCGTTCGAAGATGTTATATATGTGCTCAGGTTGACATGGTTCCCTATCATTTCACTTCGTAACGCTTCAAACCACCACCGCTTTATCACACGTTTCAGAAAGTTTCCTTCGGAGTACTAGGCATAATTTATTTCCTTTACTTAAAGCGATTTATTATTCAGGAATGGGGAATATACCAAATGAAAAAAAGGGATAGAGATGTCAATACCAACAAAACTCAAATCTATGAAGATCACGAAAATGTGAAACATATTTTAGACGAGGAGAAAAATAAAATACACAAGAGGGTATTTAACTATAGAAAAAAGGATTGAACAGCGAGTTAGGGATTAGGTTGTAGGCGAACCAAGTTAATCTTTTAAATTATGCTCTTTTTTTTTCTTTTTTTGAGATGATAAATACTAATAGGGAAAAAGAAAACAAAAAAAAAAAAAAAAAAAATTTTCATGACTGTGCATTTGTTTTAAAAGTTGAATAAAGTACCTGAGGGCACTTGTTTTTCTCTCTATTTCATGTGTCTTTCTGATGTTATGCAGGAATTGTCAACTTAAAGAACAAGTCTTCATGCTGGGCAGAGTATAAGTATGTAAAATTTCGCATATGTTCGTTTTTTAGGTCTTATATTTAAGTTGCATTATGTGTATGTATGTGTGTGCGTACATGTACACAGACTAATTATCTTTAAAAAAAAATGTATTATGTACACTCATTTTTTTTTGAAATTAATTTTATATTATGTTTTTTTTAAACTGACGCACGAAATTGGACATTCCCTTTTTAAAATATTTTCCTTTAAGCAATCTATTATCTTAATTTTTTTTTTTTCTCCAAAATCGATTTCAAACTAATATACTTTTCTACCTGACTTGTTCATATATTTCTCCACTACAATCATAAGAATAATTTGGTGCAGAAAAAAAAAAAAAAAAAAAAAAAAAAAGTCATGTCATTTGAACTGTAGTGCAAAAAATAACATTTTTATTATTTTTTTATTTTATTATTTTTATATATATATTTTTTTTTTTTACTACAACTTGTATATTTACATTTTACATATTATAAAATGCAACGCTCTTTTTCCCAATTGAACCATGAGCATATTCATATGCACACACATTCAAAGGAATACTCAATAAAATATTTACATTGTTTTTGAAAACTGTCCATTAATGCTTACAGTTTTTGTATGATGAAAAAAAAAAAAAAAAAAAAAAAAAAAAAAGTGTTACCACAAAAGGGCAACAAATTGAAAAAAGACAAAAAATAGAAAAAAAAAAAAAAAAAATAAAAACTAGGAAAAGTGAAACAGCCTGAATAGAAGTTGATGAATTAATAGAAGGGTTGTGACAAAAAGTGTAACTTTAGTTGAGCAAGAATTTAACCTACTGCACTAATTTTTTTTTTTTTTTTTACATTTTTCATTTTGTGATTTTCCCTTTTTACTTTTTCTTATTTATTTTCCATTTCCTTGGTTATAACTTTCGTTTCACCTTATTTATCAACTCGTGTATCAATTTGTGTACCAATCTGTGTATCAATTTGTGTACCAATCTGTGTATCAATTTGTGTACCAATCTGTGTACCATTCTGTGTACCAACCTGTGTATCAATTTGTGTACCAATCTGTGTACCATTCTGTGTACCAACCTGTGTATCAACCCCTGTATCATTTTGATTAAGACCTCTCTTACTGCTTTGCTCATCTGTGCCTATTCTGCTCGTGTAACACAGTAATAGCCCATATTGCTACGCATATGCATACATATGCGTATACGTGTGCGAGCACGAGTGTACACATGTGTTGTATGCATCGCCTACCTATAAAAAGCACACGTGCCATCGAAGCAACAGAAAAAACCCGAACAAAAACGTGAAGAAAAACAAACGAAAAAACGAACATAAAAATAAAAGGAGAAACAGAAAAGGAGAAGCCAATTAGATCAAACAGTTCCCAGTCCCCTGAAATGGTATTATACGGAGGAAGCTACGGAAATAACAAAATAGCCCATTTTTCAAAGAGTTCAATACTGGAGAAGGGAACGCATTTGGTAAATGTAAAAGATGACAAGAGTTTAAAAGAGTACAGATGGTGGAATGGATTGATTAAGCCAAAGGAAACTTTTAATGAAAAAAAGACGAAAGGTTTCCTAGTTGTGAAATTATTTTTATATGCATACCTGAACAGAATAAGCACATACAGATCAAATAAAGATCATGATTTGATGTATCCGTATTTAAAAATTTTGTTAAATGATGAAGAAATTTATAGGACCAAAGTTTTACATAGCTCATTAAACATATGGGAAGAAAAAATAGACATAGAAGTTCATTATGTTAAAAGTAAAATAGAAATTCAGCTATACGAATTGGATGAAACTGAGGGGATAGTAGAAGATGAATATATTGGCAGTGCATTTATCGATGTTTCACATTTACAATTATCAAAAAAATATGACATAATTATTAAGTATATTAATAAAGTAGGACACTTAGTGGATCCATATTTTTACAAGAAAAAAACACAGGATGAACAAAACAAGGGGAATAATAAGGTGGTCGAATATGGGGACGGAGGAAATAATAATATATGCACGAATTCAATAAATGATTCTTCCGCACCACGCCTAGAAAAATCTTCAAAAGACTACAGCATTCGTATTTTTGCAAAATTAGTTAGTAAAAAAAACTACAACAACTTTGTTTTTAAGTTAAATTGCATATCTTCGTTAAATTATTCCTATGTTCACAATAAAAACGAAATATTAGACAAAGAATTGAATGTAAATAAGTTATATGAAGAGTTAAAAGCTATAAAAGGAAATATTGAAACCATTTGGTTACCCTTTTTTTCAATTATCTACAATTTCGCCTCATGGAAAACACCATTATATTCCATTTTTTTTGTGATTTTCTTTTTTTTTTCCTTTTTTTTTTCCAAATTTTTTTTTTCCTTTTTTTTAGTAGCATTAAGTCTAATTTTTTTCATTTTAGTTTCTATCATTAGAGAAAGTGATAAGTTAAAACGAAATGGAGAAATTCGTATTTTGGGTAACACTGTTCGATCACCAAACCTTCATTCACATACTCTCGAGGAGGAAAAAAAAAATAAGTCTTTTACTTATTGGATGCAGGCTAAAACTTTTGGTGGATACTGCCAGCCAAAAGAATACTTAAATGAAAGTACCTTGAAGGATGATGATTATTCAGGAAGCATTTCTGAGCGCAATGGGAGTTATACTAGTTGTTCTTTAGATGACGTAAGCACGGAAAATTCGAGTCGAACTTCATATGATTGTAGAAGTGACGCTAGAACCGGTTCCTCTCTGAGTGCCTACAGGGATTGTAGTAGTGTCAGGGAGGTACAAAAAAAGGGGAGGCTCCAAGAAAAAGGAGGAATAAATGAATCTGGTGACAAAAAAGGAAAAAGCAAAATGCATATTGAGAATTCTGAGCAATCACAAGAGGGAAAAAACAGAAGCGAAAATAAAGAGAACAAGAAGAACACCAAACAAAATGTCATAAAAAACGACAACAAAAAGGTGAATAACAGCCTGAAGAAGACCCAAAACAAAAATGAACCTATGGATAGCAATACGACCAACATGAGCGGAAGACTGAGTAAAGGTGGGAAGACGATGAGACAAAGTAATAACAACTTTATGAGTGAAATCAATACTGATGATAATAGTAGCAGTATCAATGTAACGGAAGAAGAATATAACAGTGATCAAGATGCAGAAAATAACTTAAGTATTATTAAAACTTTTGTATCAAATGTAATTGATGATGATATTATTAACAATGTAAAATATTTTCACTATATTTTATTTTGCTTTAGCAAATGGTCTCAAATATTATTTTATGTTTTACGAAAATTTGGCTATTTTTTAGTTGTCATTACACTACTTTTATGTTTCCTCAATATTTACTTTTACCCCCTTGTTGCCAAGTTCTTGAGATTTTCCATTTTTGTAAGTGGTTTCATTTTGCTAACATACAATTTCAAGCCTACTAATATATTTTACCGATTTTTTATATGTATTCATGAGTATTACTATTGCGATATAAACAACACTAAGATAGACATTTTCTCAGTATCTCATGCTCTTCGAGAAAAACTATAATGTAAGAAGCATGCTTAAGAATATCCCTTTAGCACCAGTTTGGACACAACATTTGTATGTTATGTACTTTACCAATCGTTGCATGACCAGTAGCATATGGATATGGTATGTATATTTGGACTTTTTGACCTATGCCTTTTTTTTTTTTTTTTTTTTTTTTCTTCTTTTTTACAAATTCAGGAATTCATAACTACTGCACGTTTTTCGGTTATCTAATTTCATTTTTTTTGAAAAATAATCAACTGTCTCTCAATTTTATCATATCATATGACACAGTATTTCGTTGAATGTATTTAACACATGTGGACTAAAAGTGATTCATATATGTTGTGTTTTCGTTTTTCACCTGTTCATCACCCTTTCACATTTCCACCTTTTCTTTTCTTTTTTTTTTTTTTTTTTAAATAAACATTTTGACTGATAAATTTTTTTTTTTTTATTATTTATTCATTTAGACATTTTGTTGAGATTGGCGTAGGCGTTTATTGTATCACATTTTTGCACATGTATCTGTATATGTATACAACATATATAAATGCATGTACAAAAGCTGGTCAGTGCCTTGAAAATGTGTTCAATACCTAGATAAATACAAGTTTTTAGTTATATACATGTAAACAAACTAATAGAGGGCACAAGGATCGTTTTCGCATTATAAGAGTGGACAGGGAAAATAAAAAAACAAAAAAAATTCATCTAACCAATGACTTATTTTTCTCTATATTTAGAAGAATTAAAAGGGGGAAGAAAAAAAAAAAAAAAAATTCTTTTAAAATGTACATGAATCTTAAACTTATATGAGAGTATTATTAAAATTATGTTTTTGTTTTCTTAATAATAAAAGAAAAGAAAAGGAAAGCCCTTTTTTCCAAATGAACAAGTTTTGTTGATTAATTTTTACTCATCACTTTTTAGTCCCTTCACCCCACCTATGTCAGTATAAATTTTTTACTTTTATAAAAATGGCACATATCAATTCATTATTCTTTTGCTGTTGAGGACTAGGAAAAAGAAGAACTGCCTCAACTTTTTTTTTTTTTTTTTTTTTTTTTTGCAGTACCCGTAAGGCCGTGACAAAGTACTGAATTACACAGATATTATTTTTATAAAAGATACAATTGTACCATAGCTCTTATCTAAGCAGAGAGACACGGTACTCCCACTGCAAATTATATTTTTTTTTTCAAGGATTATTATACATATTATATATGCAATTATTTTGTTACCCCCTGGCTTAAGTCTTCCCTCCAATTTGGCTAATTCGAAATAAAAACTCTCAACCAAAAAAAAAAAAAAAATAAAATAAAATAAAAACTCGCATAATACATAGAAAAATAACAAAAGTATAAACCTATTTATACTTTTTCTCAATATTATCTATATAAAGAAAACCTAATTCATTGTTTCACTAAACTTTTTCCAATTTTTTTAACAACTTTTTTTTTTTTTTTTGTCATTAAAGGAAAAAATAAAAGAGTAGGCGGAGGTAGAGGATAGAAAAAAAGAGAAAATTTTAATTTACAAACATTTTTTTTTTTTTTTTTTCCCCACCCCCTCTGTTACGCACGACGAAAAGGAATAGCAGTATTAACGATATAACTACACTTGGACGTAAAATATTTAGTTTAATCAGAAAGGTATACAAATATAGGGAGAGCTAAGAATATCAAAAGGGGGGAAACAAGGTATGATATATGTATATATATATATATATATATATATATATTAATACTTTGTCAATATTTCATCCGAAGAATCTAAAGGCAGAAAAAATACTAAATTATTACGTTTGCTCGTGTTAATGCTGAAAGAGTCAAATTTAACCATTTCAGAGCGAATAAGAAGACCTAGCAAAATTACTTTACCTCTTATTTGTACAGACACATACACGAGTGTAAGATCGAAACGACTTTAATTAAACGAAAAATAATAAAAAAAAAAAAAAAAAAAAAAAAAAAAAGACCCATCCATATGCATGTTTAAATGAGTTTTTTGTAGAAGAATTAACCCCTCCATAGCATTGTTAATTATCCTTATTTAAATTTATATAAGTCTAGTCCGCAGTTTATTACGTTGGATATGCATACCTAATTTACATTATTTTTAATAACTTGTCATAGAGGGGACATAGGAACAATTTGGCATCTGCTGCCACTCTTTAAATTACACAACACATATACAGCACACATACCATGCATACATTACACATGTAGATATAGCGAAAACCTAGTTAAGAGCATTAACTTTACAAACGCTAGAACATCACATGCAGGAAATATTTGGGCAATTCATAAGAACCTCAAGGGTGAGGGGGGTATAAACATTCTAATGAACATTTACAAAAATATTACAATCTTTTTCGAATGTTCTTATGAAGAGATATTAGTATCAAATTACATAAATGATTAACAAAGTGAATTATACATAATACTGAGAAAAGTAACACATACTGTTCTAGTATAGACGTAGAAATGCACGAAAGAAAGATCTCTTCATTAAGGGAAAAAAAAAAAACACACACACAGAAAGAATGAAGAGGAATAAAAATGACATATACAATTTCAACCCTGCTAAGGCAGAACCCTTTGGAAAAGCACCTGTTGGTTATATTCCAGGGAAAGGAAGAGGAGTAACAGGATTTTCAGGAGGTGTTAGTAGAGATGATACAACAGATGAAAAAGATAAAAATGATTATTCAGATTTTAATTATGATGAATTTCATGGCTATTCAGAATCTTTATTTAAAGATGCAGAATATGATGAAGATGACAAAGAAGCAGATGCAGTTTATGAGAACATAGATGCACGCATGGATATAAGAAGAAAAAGTAGAAGAGAAATTAAATTAAAAGAAGAAATTTCTAAAATGAGAGCTCAAAAACCAACTATACAAGAACAATTTAGTGATTTAAAAAAAAATTTAGCAAATGTAACTCCTGAAGAATGGGAATCTATCCCAACTGTTATGAATTATTCAAGACAAAAGCAAAAAAAAGCTCCGAAAAATTATTTACCATCCCCGGATAGCCTCATAATGAGTAGACTTAATGAATCAAATATGCATCTAAATTATGCTACTTCATCGTCTAATGGAATTAAAACGCCTTTAGGGTTACGAACCCCACTGGGTCTCCAAACCTCTGTAGGGTTACAAACCCCTTTAGGACTACGAACCCCAATGGGTCTCCAAACCTCTGCAGGGTTACAAACCCCACTAGGCCTTCAAACCCCTTTAGGGTTACGAACCCCACTAGGTACTCAAACCCCTTTAGGGTTAGGACTACAAACCCCATTTATCAATAGTGTAGGTGGGTTTGGACTTGAAACTCCATTTCTTAGTAAAAATTTATTAACAGCAAAAGGAAGAAATATATCCTCATCAGCACATAGCGGATTAAATACACCTTTTACTCTGTCTGGATATACTACCCCACTGAGTACATCTAATATTAGTGGTTACAATACGCCTATGTTAAATGGTACAAATAAACTTTCTCTAAACGATTTTGGAGAAGCTAGAGGTACAGTTTTGTCAGTAAAATTGGATGAACTTATCGATAATGTAGAAGGACAGACTGTTATAGATCCAAAAGGGTATTTAACTAATTTGAATGCAAAAAGTTTAGTGAATGATGCAGATATAGGTGATATTAACAAAGCTAGATCTTTACTTAAATCAGTTATAAGCACTAATCCAAAACATTATCCTGGTTGGATTGCTGCAGCAAGAGTAGAAGAATTGGCACAAAGAAAAGACAAAGCAAAGGAAATAATAATGAAAGGGTGTATAGAATGTTCTAAAAATGAAGATATTTGGTTAGAAGCTGTACGATTAGAGGAAAAAAATAGCGAAGTAAAAATTATTTTAACAAAAGCTATTAAGCAAATTCCTACATCAGTTAAACTATGGTTAGAAGCTTATAAGAAAGAAAAAAATATAGATGACAAAAGGAAAGTTTTACGAAAGGCTATTGAATGCATTCCCAATTCTGTTCCTTTATGGAAAGAAGCTATTTCTTTAGAAAATGAAAATAATGCTTATATTTTATTAAAACGAGCTGTTGAATGCATTCCTCAGTGTGTCGATATGTGGATTGCTTTGGCTAGATTATGTAATTATAATGAAGCACAAAAGGTTCTAAATGAAGCTAGAAAAAAAATTCCAACTAGTGCAGAAATATGGATTAATGCATCCAAATTAGAAGAGAAACAAGGTAATAACAATATGGTAGATATTATCATTAAAAGATGTATTGAAAATCTTTCTTCAAAAAATGTACATTTTGAAAGAGATAAATGGTTAAAATTTGCAGAAGAATGTGAAAAATCAAAATTTCCTCTCACATGCGAAAGTATTATACGTAATACTATGAACATAGGTGTTGAAAATTTGAATAAAAAAAGAATTTACAAACAAGATGCAGAAAATTGTATTAAAAATAAATCCATCCATACTGCTAGAGCAATTTACAATGAAGCATTGAAAATATTTAAAACAAAAAAGTCATTATGGCTAGCATTAGCCAATTTAGAATTAACTTATGGAAAAAAAGAAAATGTAGACGAAGTATTACAAAGAGCAGTACGCAACTGTCCTCACTCCAGTGTCCTCTGGTTAATGTTCGCAAAACAAAAATGGATAAACAATGAAATTGATAAAGCAAGGGAAATACTTGCAGAATCTTTTATGCATAATCAAAACACAGAAGTCATATCTTTAGCTGCTATCAAATTAGAAAGGGAAAATAACGAATTTGATAGGGCTAGATTTCTATTAAAAAAATCAAGAGTCCAATGTAATACACCAAAAATATGGATGCAATCGGTTCAGTTAGAAAGACTCTTAAGAAACTATTCTAAAGCCAAAGAATTAGTACATGAAGCTTTAAAAATTCACAAAAAATATGACAAATTGTATATGATAGCTGGGCAAATTGAGTTGGAAATGATGCACTATAATCAGATTGACGAGATCGTGGAACATACAGTTCAGAAACAAGATATTCAAAATGAAACGCAAATAGAAGGAGAAAATGTGCATAATGAGGAAAAAACACAAATTTATAATCATTCGGATCAAAATAATTATTATACGAATGCACAAAAAATTTATGAAGAAGGACTAAAATATTGCCCATCGTCTATCAATTTGTGGATTTGTGCAATCGATCTACAAATAGAAAAAAAAAATTATACTTCAGCAAGGGCACTAGTAGAAAAGGCAAAAATAAAAATAAAGAATATTCATACGTTAAACAATAATAATAATGTTTTAAAAAATAGAGAAATTATTGAAAGTAGTGATTTTGCGTACGAAGATGAATTAAATAAAAATATTGATGAAGACACAAAAAGTGCTGCAGCCAATGCTGGAAATATAACAAATTCAAAAAATGACATAAATAAAAATATACCAATAAATGCTTCAATTAAAGTTATCGAAAATTATGATTTATTGTGGATCAAATTAATAGAAATAGAAACTCAATGTGATAACAAAAATGTAACTCCTGTTATTTCTGAAGCGTTGAAAGAATGCCCATCATCTGGAATTCTATGGTCTAAAGCGATAGAATTAGAAAACAAAAATCTACAAAATAGTAAATCCGTGACTGCTTTTAATAACTGTGGGAATAACGCTTATGTTGTTCTAACTGTTGCTAAACTTTTTTGGAATCATTTCAAAACACATAAAGCTAGAAAGTGGTTCTATCGTGTTATTACCCTTAGTCCACACTTTGGTGATGGATGGGCAACATTTCTCGCCTTCGAAATTGACCAGCAGAATGAGGTTAACCAAAAGGATATAATTAATAAGTGTATAAAANNGCAGAACCGAACAGAGGTAAAATTTAATGCAACATTTGGCCTTGCATTAGCCAAAACTTTTTGTGCTTGCAAAAATTGCGTCAGCGATCTTGCGAGGGAGAGGAGAGTAGCAAGTGGAGGAGATAGTAGCAAATGGAGAGCAGGAGGGGGGGAGGACTCCCTCCATTTTCTTCCAATCTATTTTACATTATTAAACAAACAGCTATTCATTTATTTTTTTAATTTCTTCCCATGCCCTTTCCCTGTAGGCTATATGTGGAACAAAATCACAAAGAGAGTAGAAAACTGGAGGCTGAAATATCCACAAAAATTATACAAATACATCAAGGAACTTTTCCCAGAAGTATTAAAAAAAAAAATTTCTGAGCAGATATGGAAAATTATTAGTGACGAGGATGTGGAAATTCCCCTTTTGTCATTTCAACCAATGCAGGTTAACGAAGAAGGGAAAACAGTGCAAGTAGAAGAATCAGAAGAGAAAGGAAAATTATCAGAGGATGATGCATTAGATGAAACAAGCGAGACACACAAACCTCGAGAAATGGATAAAGAAATGGATGAAGAAGTGGAAGAAGAAGTGGATGAAGAAGTGGACGAAGAAGTGGATGAAGAAGTGGACGAAGAAGTGGACGAAGAAGTGGACGAGAAAAAGAAAGCAGCAAAGAATGGAAAAATCAACATTAGTCAAAAGAAAACCAATAAGAGGAAAGATATGCATGAGAATAACGAAGAACCTGAAAAAGCAGACCGAAGAAGGAGGAAAAAATGATGATAATCCCTTCCTTCCCCCCCCCCCCCCTCCCCTGGCTCAGGAAATATGCATTATGTCATATATCATTCCTTTTTTTATTACATATTATATGAACGCAGCATATATGTACATCCTAAACTATCCAACGACTTTCCTATTCCTTGTGGCACGCCCATTTATGGGTTATTTTATTTTTTTTTATTATTTTTTTTATTATTTTTTTTATTATTTTTTTTTTTATTTTTTTTATTATTTTTTTTTTTATTTTTTTTATTATTTTTTTTATTATTTTTTTTATTATTTTTTTTATTATTTTTTTTATTATTTTTTTTATTATTTTTTTTATTATTTTAATTTTTTTTTCCATTTTCTTTGTAACTTTTTCTTCACATTTTGAATGATTTAAAGTTTGCAACATTTCGAAAGTTTTTTTAAAAAAATTCATTTAAAATGAAACAAAATTGATGCCAAGACAAAATGAAACTAAAAAAAAAAAAAAAAAAAGATGAACGGGGGTTGTAGAAATAAAACATCCTTATAAATGTGTATACCAGGGTATGCATACAAATGTATATGCAATACATAATATGTGCAAAAACGTAGAACATAAGATTAGCACTCTATGAATTTTTTCAAAATGTTCTAAGTGTTACGACCGCTGCTGGAAACATTTTACAATATGTTTTAAATCAAAAAAGGAAAGAATGTTGTTCTATCCCACCAGTATTCATTCACTAACCCTGAACCATACTCACATATATATATATATATATATCCCCCTTCTTTTTGCTTTGATATACATTGAAATAGAACAGTAAAATATAAATGTAAATTACATTTGGTTACGTTTTAAACTAATTTTTCATTCGATCAGCTTTTTGGCATGTGTGTGGAGATTCTACTTGTCTATATCCCTTTTTCTATTGCGTTACCTGAATGTGGTTGCAAATGTTTAGAATGATATGACGGAAGAGGAAAATAGGAATCGTGAATATGGGCTCTCCCCATCCACTACTTCGGTTATTTATACAAAAATTACTGTTCTTCATTCTCCCCTTTGTTTGGTTTTCTTCCTCAAGGACTGCAATATCATTTTGCACAAGGGTGACACATTACTTAAGAGTTAATACAATAGAGAAGCAACACACTGAAGAAGTAATGCAACAGAGACATATTACTACACTAAAGAAGTAATACACTTGCGAAATAATATTGTTCACGCTATTTTTCCACTTTGAACCAGTGTAATTTAGATCAGAAACAGTGCGCTCCTTTCCCTTGTTTTTATTTTCTCCCTTCGCTTGATACTGCTTCCTTTGCATGCACCACACGATCTCTCCACATATTACGCTTCCATTTCTTCTTCTTTTTTGATTTATTCGCTACTTTATTGATTAATAAATTCCCTGTACCATTCTTCCTCTTAACATACCCCCCCTCTACTATGCTCGATTTCACCTGAACGTGTACTTCACTGATATTATGCATATTTGTAGATAACCCATTTGCCTTCTTCTCATCAATTTTGATATTCATTTTTTCAAAATTGTTAACGGAAGGGGATGCATTATCCTCCAATTTTGACGGAGCGCAATTATCATTTCCTAAATTTAAGGTTATAGATTTACTTTTTTTCACAAAAATGGAATACTTAACATTCTCACTCTTTTTTTTTTCTTCCTTTGGTTCATTCATCAAGGCCATATTACTCTTTCCTTGACTTATTTTCTTGGCACAGTTGTTGTACATGTTTTCCCACCACATACCTTTTTTGTCCTCTTCTTCTTGGTGTTCTTCATATCCTAGCTGTGTTCAGAGGGGCGGGAGAAAGGTGAGAAAAATGAGGAAAATGGAAAAAATGGAAAAAATGGGAAAAACGGGAAAAACGGGAAAAACGGGAAAAACGGGAAGTCATATATGCACACAGACAAAACATTTCTAAGCAACAGTTTCATTATAAGAACTACAGGTGCATGTGCCAATTAAAATTCCATCGTCATACATCACATGCAGCATATTTTGTCCGTTTTGCCGTTTTGTCCGTTTTGCCGTTTGTCCGTTTTGCCGTTTTGCCGTTTTGCCGTTTTGCCGTTTTGCCGTTTTGCCGTTTTGCCGTTTTGCCGTTTTGCCGTTTTGCCGTTTTGCCGTTTTGCCGTTTTGCCGTTTTTTCTGTTTTTTTTTTTTTTTTTTTCATTTAATTACCCCATGCTCTCCGTACTTTTTAATTTTCATAATGTTCAAGTTGCCATTTTCTTGTTTCCCTAGACCTTTGCCCCTTTAAAAAAGGAAATAAAAACGAACGGTGAAAAAAGGTACATTAGCAAATGATGCAATAGTAAATGAAACAATATCAAAAGGTGCATGTAGAGAAAGGAAGAACAGCGTTGCATCATATTTTAACAGGGCTCCGCCATACGAAATGCATGATCCATATATTTCATCACCACCTCCCATTTGTGTATGAGAAATTTAGATTCCCATTTCTTCTACTTACTTGACCCATCCAAATTTCTGCATTATGTAAGAACCATATTTTGACTCGACTGGTTTAGACTGATTTTCTAAAAACCCCAAAAAGGGGAGAAAAAAGGAAAAAAAAAAAAAAAAAAAAAAGTGAAAACACCTCTTTTAATTCAAACACTTTTTAAATTGAATAATACACTAAAATCATGTATGCGTACAAAAATAATAATATGTTTATCTCCATGCTAATTTTAAAAATTTGTCCTGGTATATGTACATGCAGTGTGGCAAAGAAACTGATTTTGTCCTTGTATGTTAATTTATAGACATTCACAATACTTCAACAAATCAGTTTCCAGCCAAATGATGACAAAAAAAAAAAAAAAAAAAAAAAAAAAAACTGGTACAGTTATGCTCTGTTCCTAAATTTTTATTTCCTAGTTGCCTATGTTTAGGTGGATATTTGTTTTTAAACTTACGGATATCGCAGAGTAACTTTTCGTAGTACTTTTTCGACATTTTAAAAAACTCAAAAAAGTGTTTTCTTTTTTTTTTTCCCCCTTTAGGTTCCAAATGAAAAGAAGTATATATTTTTGAAGCAGATTTGCTAATGACTTCATGCACATTGTACATAAACAAATTGATACATTTTTGTTGAACAAAAATAAAATAAAAATATATAAAAGTATAAAAATTTTTTAAATATCATAAGACAAAAAAAAAGAAGAATGCCTCGATTTTTACCCAACTTGTTTCTTCATTTAATTTCCATTTTTTTTTTTTTTTTGACAGTTCGTTTTTTTTGAGTTTTATCTTATATTTGTAAGAATGACTTCTGGACACGTGGAAGAATATATATGTGACAATATTATTCCTTTCAACGCATGCGTAGATTTATCTATTTTTTTATACGTATATACATAGCATGCTCAATAATTACAAGGATTGCACCGTAAACAAATCAGTTGTAGAATATGAATATTGCTACTTGTCAATGCTTCACGGTTATTATGTTTTTTTTTTTTTTTTTTTTTTTTTTTTTTTTTTTTTCTCTATATTTTGCTGATTCCTATGCACTAAAAAGTAAAATATGTATGGTTCATTTAGGTTCCATTAAACACGTTTTCTACGTTCCTTCATTTGGAGATAGGTGAGGCACATTGTCTCAATTTAAAAAAATATTTTTCTCTTCTCTTTCGGTTTGACAAAAAGTATGAGACAAATTTAATAAGCTGAAACTTTTTAAACAATTTCAAACGACATGTGCATATTCCAAAATATCATAACACAAGATAAGGTATAAAAAAAAATGTGTTGCAAGAGGATACTAAAGAGAAGCACTACACATAATACAGAATATAGCGAGCAGGATCTGACCTTTATTGGGGATCCCCAAACCAAAGCTTACCATGGGTAAATAAACATATGATCATATGAGCATATGAACATGTGAATATATTAATATGTAAATATAAATGCGATATAATATGGAACGAATGTGGTGAGTGGGGGGATGGGGTGTTAAGCAAGGTAACGAGGAAAAAAATATAATTAAATAAAAAAAAAAAAAACGACACTCTTTTTACAAAAAAAGAATATCTCATATATGTTGTTCTTTCGTTAACGCAACAGTAGCATTTAAAGTCAAAAAATAAGTAAATGGAAATATAAAAGTAAAACGGGTTAAGTTCCTTAGCATTTACATATATGCATAATATGTGCGTAACGCAACATGAACAGCGAATTATGAGAAACACAGCATGTGGAATAACGTCGTTCTAACTCGTTCATGTGGATACATAAAATATGGAAAATTCATCCCCCCCCCTTTAGTATATCTGACTTTATAAAAACAACCCCTGTATTATTCTATGGATTGAAAAAATGGAAACGTTAAAAAAAAAGAATATATATTTTATATATGCTTTTTATAAATGCATAAGTGGAATTTATATATGTCAATATATATTTTTTTTTTTTTTTTTAGAGGGGGGATGGTGTGGAGGGGGTTGTGTTACATTCTCTATATCAAAATTTTCGCCCTCTCGTTCGTTTCTCTATGTGTATATTATGCATATGTATATATAGGTAAGAATGCATATATGGGTAAGAATGCATATATGGGTAAGAATGCATATATGGGTAAGAATGCATATATGGGTAAGAATGCATATATGGGTAAGAATGTATATATGGGTAAGAATGCATATATGGGTAAGAATGTATATATGGGTAAGAATGCATATATGGGTAAGAATGTATATATGGGTAAGAATGTATATATGGGTAAGAATGTATATATGGGTAAAAATATATAGGCGCTCCCTTTTAACAACTGATACAACGAAAATAAAAATATATAATTTCTTATTTTTTTTTGTTCAGATTTTTCTGTTATGTTAAAGTGATAAGAAAATTAAATAAAACCATAAATGAAAAAAAGTTCTGTTAAAAAAAAGGAAAAAAAAAAAGTGAAAAAATGTGAATAAATGAGAAAAAAATTAACGAGTCTGTAAAAGAAAAATGATCCAAGAGAACTAAATTATGCACAGAAACATCATTTTTTTTTGGTGTAACTTCATACTAATACTTATCAAGAGCAATAAGCAAAATAAAACAACTTTTGATGCTCGTTTCAGGCTATACATAATATAATGCATTATTATATATATGTATATATATATATATATATATACATGTTTATATATATTTATGTATTACTCCATACTTACAATTGTTCACATGTTCTTCAAAGGTTTGTTATTTTTTCTACGCCAGCCTTCTTCAGCGAGGTGCACAAAAGAAAAAATATATATATCTTTAAAAAAAGTGTTGCTTATCTTACGTATATTGGGACTTATATATGTATTGAATTATGTATGTATGGAATTAAGTATGTATCGAATTATATGTATGCATTGAATTTAAGTATATAAGAACTTATATATACATGAAGTGTTTATGTACGTGTGCAACCTAAGTATAATCATTAATGTTTATTAACACCCACCCGAGCGTGAGTGACCTTAGGAGTAGGCTTAACACATGAATTCCTAACACTCACAGAGATACTCCAGGAATTCTGTTTTTTTTTTTTTTTTTTTTTTTTAATTTCCAACATTTTTGTTTCCTTTAAGATCCCTATAATAATATAATGGCATCATTTTTTTTATATAATGTTATTGTCAATCCGCATTTCCCATCACCTTACTTTGAAACCGAAGGAGAGCAGGGCAAGAAAAAAAAAAAAAAAAAAAAAAACTAAAATAAATTAGTAATTCCATAAAATGTATATATAATATGTAAAAACAACATTTGTAAAATTACTTACATTTAATTACAGCGTAATTACTAATCTTGCTTAGTGTATATATATATATATATATATATATATACATAAGTATGTACATTTTGTAAAAAAAAAATATAGCATTTTTTTCCCCTTTTAAAAAAAAAAAAAATACCACATGAGAATAAAATCCTAACAAAAAATAAAAAAAAAAAACAAAAAAACAATAAAAAAAAACAAAAAAAAAAAAAAAAAAAAAAAAAAAAAAAAAACAATACAAAAAAACAAACAAACAAAAGAAGAAAAAACAAGCAAACAAACAAACAAATAAACAAAGCTGTTATGTATGTTATAATTAAAATAAATGAATAACATGTTTTAAGAGCTTGCTAATTCCCAATTAAATAAATACCATGCTTTTGTATATAGAAATCTAGTTTATAAACACATAAGAAAATAAAACACGTTTTATTTTCAGTTTTATGGCTATACAATTTATATATATAAGTAGGCACACAAATATTTATACAAATATATACTTATACTACATATATAAGCTTATGTATACAAATAGTACTTATTTTGTACATATATATATGAACACTACATAATATGATAAGTATTTATTTTACATATACATGAGATATGTACAATTTCTTCTACTTTACGTTAACACGAAAAAGTGATAAATGTAAAAAAAAAAAAAAAAATAAAATAAAATAAAAAGTTTAAGGAGTACAACAAATTAGTACCAAAAAAAAAAAAAAAAAAAAAGAAGAGAAAACACATTCATATGACGATATTTTTATACTTTCCCATTATATGCTTAATTTTTTTTTTATGCTTACACTTACATGTTTTATGACCCTATAAGGGACTGTTTTATCACACATCTTGGGTTAATACAAGAACCAACGACACTATTGTGAAATAAGCTAACTTTTATTGTACAATCCTACTGCACATGCATATACATAAATGTACATATATATATATATTCATAACGCAGATCTTGTATTAGAACCTCGTTACGTATGCGATCTAATTTTGCAACATCGATTTTTATATAAATTTCATATTATAAATATGTATTTGTAAAAATATCCTATTGTGCACATGACATGATAATCTATATACGCCACTTTATAAATAGAAAAAAAAAAAAAAAAATTTTTTTGGCAGTTAAAAGTTGCTTATGAGTGCAGCCATCAAACCATCTTCAAATTGAAGTAATAGGAGAACCTGTAAAGTGTAGAAGTATATACATGCCGATGAAATAAACACATATATAATGAATATACAAATGTAAGGACTGTTATATACCCATATATGTTTTATTACATGCCAACGTACATAGCTCGTTTAGTGTATATATAACCATCAACAACTCCTTTATATATATCTTCCGAGCACATGTCATAAAGTGATATCAAAAAGAAGAGATAAAGCAAAGAGAACAGGCGTTCAAGCAGTTGTATATTATCCATTTGTGTAACTTTTAACCGAAATTTGCAAACTTGGCTTACAAAATTTACATTTTTCATCTTGTCACACCAATTTACGCGTTGCTTTTATTCCATTCCATTTCTCACATTTCACATCGTTCCAATTTGTGTTCTTTTTTATTTATTTTTTAAAAATAATTCACTCCTCTTTGCACTATTATTTCCATCCCTATTGAACATTTACACAATGCAAGAGATCAAAAAATAAACCAAGTAAACATCTGCACGAGCCAACAAGCCTCGCATTATTTCCCTACGTGTCCACTACATAATTGCATGAAAAAAAGATTTCTTACTATTGCATAAGCACATTGCAAATTGAGTACATATATATATTCCCCTTATATCAAAAATATAAAAAAAGACATTTAAAAGATGGATATTTTATAGAAAGACAGACTCGTCAGTTATTATGATATATCAGCTGAGAAACATTTTCGATCTTGTTCTTTAAAGCTCCATTTGTGGAAATTTATCTGTGCGATTTATTTTGTGACGGTTTATTTTGTAACCATTCATTTTGTAACGATTTATTTTGTGATGATTTATTTTGTAACGATTTATTTTGGATAATCCATTTGTGAACGTGCACATTTTGCAGTTCTTATTGAGAAATCAACGCTTCATTTGACACGTGAAGGAGTTTTTTTTTTTTTTTTCCAAAAGGGAAAAAAGGAAAAAAAAAACAAACGAAGAAAAAACCAAAGAAAACAAAACAGAACGAAAGCAGGGCAAAAGAAAATAAAACAAAGTCAAATCAAAATAAAAACAAAACCAAATACAAACCAAAACAGCCACATGAGTGCTTAAATTGTTGAAATTTCAAAAAGATAAACGAGCAAAAAAAAAGAAAAAAAAAAAAAAAAAACTTATTTATGAGAACACATCTATATAAAATTATACACTTCTAAGCAAACCCAGCACAAGAATAATTCATACAAGTGGAAAAGTATATGCAGAGTAGAAATAATCCCATTTTTATACTTTTTTTTTTTTTTTTTTTTTTTTCTTTTGCATTTTCGCCATTCCCCAAGAAGTTTTTGTTATTTAGCCAAGAAATTTTATTTTAAACAAAAATTTTGTACCTTGAAAGATCATATTTGATAACTGTAAAATATATATACATATACAGATATTTACAACACACATTTCAACATTTACAAACAGGTACTTACATTACATAAACGTACGAGCAAAATAGGAAATTTTATATTCATATTTTCGACCAATTTGATGACAATTTATGAAAAGAAAAAAGTATAAAAATTGAACTTTTTAGATAAAATTTTAACAAGTGGAAGAACCACAGATAGTTATAAAAAAGAGCAAAAAAAAAAAAAAATTTTTTTTTTTTTTTTTATATGCATGGGCTTATTTTCAGAGTAATAATTTCTATAATACATTTTCATAAGTACATATTTTTTAAAGGAATTTTTTTTTTTTTTTTTTTTTTTTTTTTTTTACATGCTCCAAAAGTTTTCCAATTTACAAAAATACCAAATATATGGACAGAAATATTGACAAGGTATTTACAGAATCGAATTTTGTTAACAACCTTTTTTATTATTTCAAAAGTGTTAAAAGGAAAATTTAATTGCTCAGATATATATAAAAAGTAGGGAAAATCACAAAGAAGAAAGACAAAGTTACCAACTCTTAGTTGTGTATCCTGTAAAAGAACTTTTACAGAATTAATTTAACGTAAAGATACCATAGGAAAAGTAGAATAATTAAACAAAGAATAAACAATCCAAGTGAATAAAAAATAAAACAAAATATTATTGACAAAATGAGTACCGTTATGGATGAAAGTAAAATAGAGATTCAAGCCAACAAAGAAAATGAATGCATCGAAAAGGTCTATGATGGAGCAAACGAGAACATTTCCAATGAGACCAACGCAAATGAAAATGATGAAACCTGCGTGAACAGTGGCAGCAATGAAATTAGCAACGATCTCAGCAATGCAAACGGGGATGCAAACGGGGATGCAAACGAGGATGCAAATGGGGATACAAACGAGAATGCAAATGGAAACGCAAACGAGAATGTAAACGAAAACAAGATCGAAAGTGAAGAGAACAAAAGCAGCAATCGGTGGGCGGACATGTGTGAAGACTACGATGCTCCTCTAGGTATTTATTTCATGAATACAATAATGTGTGAAAAGAATGAACTGTTGAAAAGGAGTTTAACGTTTGTTGTCTGCTGTTTTCTACATACAGACGCAGGCATATATGTACCACTTTATGCATATTCTGCTCGTTACTCCCATCGAATTCGAATGAATGCATTCATATAAGTGCACACAAAAAGTGCATTTGAAACGGAAAAAATATATATATATATAAATATATGCATATATATATATGCTTATATATACATTTTTCCTTATCACATTTCCCATTCCCCCTCTATCCATGCAGTTGACACATACAATGACGACAACGACATGAAACAGAAAACCATGGACAGCAATTTTAACGACATGAATAACAGCATGAGACAAAATTATTTTATGTCAGCCAAAAATGGTAATAATTCTTTTCAGTTCTGAGAGAAAATGCTTATGGCTTATGCCTTTTTTTTTTTTTTTTTTTTTTTTTTTTTTTTTTTTAAATTAGTGCCTGCCGACAAATTACCC